GCCTTTCAAGATGTATTAGGAGGGAGTTGGATCTGAAGCAGAGCAGCTAGGACTCAAGTTGGCACTCAAATGGGATGTTGGCATGCTAGTGGCAGCTTAACATGATGTGCCACAGCATCAACCTATAAACTCACATTTTAGTTTTATATTTTACAAACTTTTAAGTACCCTTGCATAAGTTCAATTGATTTTGAAATCTTTGTATTATTTCTAATAATTTATCTGAAATCTATGGATTTTCTGAATACACATTATCCATGAGTGAACATTCTAACATCCTTTTAAGTTCTCATGAGTTATTTTTCTTGTTTCTCTATATTGGTGATGTCAATTATGGGTTGGTGCCATGGTATAGTAGGCTAAGCCTCCACCTGCAGTGTTGGCATCCCATTTGGGATTCATTTCCTGGCTGCTCCACTTCCAATCCAGTTCCCTGCTTATATGAACTGGGAAAGCAGTGGAGGATGGCTCAAGTTTTGAACCCCTGAACCCATATGGGAGATCCAAAAGAAGCTCTTTGCTCCTGGTTTCAGACTGGCTCAGCTCCAGCCATTGTGGCCATTTAAGTAGTAAATTAGCAGAGGAAAGATCTCTCTTTCTCTCTCTTTCCTTCTCTCTGTAACTCTGCCCTTTAAATAAAAATGAATCCTTAAAAAAAGAGAGAGGAGAATCTTTGTCTCTTTATCTAAGAAGGAGAATGTTTAATATTTCACAATTAAATATGATCCTTTCCATGACCCTTGCTTTTAAATATTCCTGGTAAATATTTGAGATACACTGATTGTGGCCTTGTGAAAAACCCTGAGGTGGAGTGTCCCAGCCGTGACATGGCAGGCCCCTGATCCACAGAAACCACAAGAAAACATTGCTTTAAAGCTGCCCCTGTTTAGCAGTGAATTGCTCTGTGGCTGTGGGTCAACCAAAGTAGCAAGGATGTGTATCCTGGAGTGCTTCTCCCAAAGTCCAGCCCAAGTCGCTGCCTAGTGTAGCAGAAAGAACATGGGCTGCAGAGTTAGAGAAGGTGTCTGCTTCTGCTTTGTACTGTCATCTATCATTACTCACCTCAGTTTTCTCACCTGTAAGATGGAAATAACACGCTTGCCTCTCACATGCTTTCTGCTTAAAAGGGACAAAGTGAAACTCCGCAGCCACTGAAGCACATGGTTTCTTTCAAGATTCATCTGGTTCACCGTGACCTTGTGTGGAGACTGTTTCCTAGAGAATATCAGAACAGATGGTATAGCAATATGACAGAATGGCTCAATCAGGAATCTTGGGGTGTAGGACATTTTGCTGCCAAAGAATTGTCCCAACTTCTCTTCACTTCACGGACACTACAAACCACCCACACTGCGTAAGCATGGATTCTTATTTCAGTGGTGAGGCAAGCTTTGAATGGCTAGCCATTTTGGGGCACCTGCACTGGAGCTCTCTTTATGACCCCAGAGCACTCCCTTTTAACCTTTACAGTTTGAGCTGCTCTTGTGGCAGAGGGGTGCTAAGACAGGTCCCTCCCACAGCCTTGGAATGGGGGCCTTGGATCAGCTGGGTACCCCAGCCAGGCAGGGTTTGGCGTTAAAAGTGAGGATGGAGCTCCAGCTTGTTACCTCTCAGCTTTGGATTCTCCAGGAAGTCTTCCTCTGACCTGCTTCTTTTCCCTCCTGTAAAATGAGAGTAAGAATACCTCCCACTTTGCAGCTTATAACACAGGATTGGGCCACAGTTAGGCACTCAGATCATCACAGCAAAATTTTTCTCATGCTTAGGTATTGATTTGGGACAGGAAGGGGGAAGGGATGGACATGGAGATTGTGTGACTCTTTGGAATGTGGTCCAGGGACCTGGACACTGGCATAGCCTGGGATGGAAATGGCAACTCTCTCTAGAGCCACCTGGACCTCCTGGCCAGCATCTAGACATCCAAAGCTTGTGAAACTGGAACTGTGCATTCTTAACAAGCTCCACCACAGTGGCAGTAGCAGAGGTTGACAAAGACGGGCTTTGGCATCTTTGCAAGATGTCCCATCTGCTGCATCTAGAACAGAACAAGAACCTAGGGCACAAGACTGAACTTGAGTGAGGACATGCACTAGCACAGATGAGGCAAACCACCAATGTGAATAAATAAGCATCAATTTTATTGAATCATGAATAATTTAAGACTGGTACAATCATCAGCTTTATTCTCTATGACATGGGTCCTGATCTCCAGCGGATCATGGCAAATCCAAAAAACAAAAACCTCATGACAAATGAAACTTAAATAGGGAGGGAGGGAGGCAGGGCACTCAGGAAGGAAACCAACCGTACACAAAATACTGAGTTCCTAGTTTTCTCTTTAAAAATGGCTAGAAAAAATTCATCAAAATGCAGCACTTTAATTATTTACAATTTCTATGTTACAATGAAAAAATGTACATCTTATAGAACATATTTCATAAACTGCTCCACTGGAAACAACTGGATCAAAACAGCAAACCTTCCACTGAATATCCACAAAGTTGGATGATTTTTCCTTTTGAAGTAGATTGCCACAGATTTGAATACAAAGAATTCTGAAGCGTAAGCAACAAACAATAAAATTAAAAATGTCCCCAAGATGCAAAGAAGGTCGAGACAAGTCACATTCCTTGTCCCATTCCCACCCCGTCCCCAACCTTAAAGGAATTCCCATTTCATTCATAGCCTGTAGAATTCTTGGCAATTTGGGAAGAAAACTTTTGGCTTCCATTGGTTACTTAACATGTTGCATAGAATTTCATACTTTTCTAAATATGCCTAACTGCAGAAAAAGGCAAAATGGAAGCATTTCAGACAGAGCCCTAAAGAAGTTCAAAGTCACTTTGTCAAAGGTGAGAAACACTAAAATAAAAATATGACCCAAGCAAGAAGCATGCACGCTAGACAACCCTGCTTCCCGAAACTTTAGGAAGGACACCGAGTTGTGAATCGTACGAGGGCTACCTTGAAGTCACCGTTGACCAATCGGGCAGCCTGGGCCCAGTGAGAGGGAAGTCTGTAAGAGAGGGGCGAAGAGAAAGAGGAGGCGAGGGAAGAGAACAATTTCAAACAAGATTGGCAGGTGTCTACTTACAAGGCGACTGGGAAAACTGCCCACAAGGAGAGGTGGAGCCCACCTTCCCACCCTGGGGTCCCAATTCACAGTACAAGAGTATAAGGTCATTGCTGGGAGATACATGGTAAGAGAAAGGCCACTCTCAGGTATACCAGAAGCTTTAGGTATTTGACCTTCCTCTTCCCCAGTCATAGGCTAAATCTATGGTTTCAATGTTCCGTTTAAAAAAATTAAAAATAAATAAAAGCAGGATAAAACACGCTCACACCCAGACGACTGACAGAGCCAGGGCAGAGCAGAGTCCGAGTATACGGCAGGGTCTGTTGCTGAAGGCTTTCTATCCACCAGTTGGTGGACATGGTCTTCGATGGGATGTGAGCAGTTTCAGGTCAAGGTCATCCGGGAGGAAAAGACACCATGGGACAAAGCTTCAGGAACAGAAACACAAACATGGAATGAAAACCCTGATCACTAACAGAGACGCCCTCATTGGGATCTGAGAAAGACTCTTTGCAAAACAGAAGCAACTGACACATCTACCACACTTAAGATGAACACACAGTATGCTGGCTCTCTACCAAGCGTGTGCCAGCAATGCCAAGGAGACCGGGGGGATTCTTGCCTTTTCCCTGTGTGGGACAGACCACTGTGCAGGCAGGCTGTCAGCTGGAGACTGCTCTCAACTAAAACATGGATCCTTTGCTGCTTTTTCTTCCCCCCACCTCCAGGGTCACATATCCATACAAAAGAGTTTTGGATGAGAAAAGTCACAGCAATTTGAGTTCTCCTAACAAACAAATGACACTTTTTTTTTTCTTTTTTAGCCCTGTTTGCTTGGATAGGGAAAACAACATAAGACAAAAAAATCCCACATAGGCACAACACATGGAAATGAACATGGTGAGTACAAAACCAGTAAGGCATCACTTTGGGAAGGTCAGCACCGAAGAGGCCGGGCAAGGCTCGTCTGGACTGGGCAGAGGCGGAGGCAGGGGGGAGGGGCCGCCCTCCGTGGCACAGCTGTTTCGGCTGGTGGATCGGTGGCGCCAGGTCTGAGGAAAGTGCATGGTTTCTGCGAGGTGACCTCGCCACCCACCAGGAGCAGCTGGGGTTGCGACGTTTGAGGTGTCAGCCTGCACTCTCCATCCTCAAGGACGAGGAGGAAAGGCAAGGCTCACCCCCTGGGTTATTTCAGGGACACAGATACCCCCCAGGTCCAGTCAAGGAGGCAAGTGTGTAGATCCATGAGGACAGACAACGAGAAACCAAAACTGAGCAGGACCAAACTGAAACTCAACTCCTGAGGCTCCCTACTTCCACCAAAGGATTGATTCTGACCAAGAGAGGGAAGGAAGAAAAAAAACAGTCTTGAAAATCAACAAGAAACTCAATCTCATTTGCAAGGGGTGATGAGTTCTCCAAAGCAGAAACAATTCTCACTATACATAGTGTTTGCAGAAAATAAAAACCTGATCCATTTCTCTATAGTAAGGGAACAGACACATGCGGTTCTGCCTTTCTAGCTGCACCTGCCAGCTCACCTTTTCACTCCTTCACTCACTCTCAAGGGCTGATTGGTGGCTGATGGGGCCTGTAAAGGGCTGAACTGGAACAGGCAAAATACCTCTCAGGAAAAGGGAGCACCATTTAAAAAGAAATAATCATAAAAAAGCACGGTTTCTTTTCTCCGAAGGGTTTCCTGCATTGCGGCTCTGTAATATGTTGAGTGTGACCAAAGCAAGTGCCCTGGTTAGCACCAGATCTCTCCGAGGCCAGCTAGGTGTGGTGCTGGGGGAGAGACCTAGGGGTCTCAGCCCTAGGGAGCTATGCTTTCTCCATTTCCAACTTTGTCTCAGTCTCTCCCATCTCAGGGCGGCTTATGGCAGGGTGCTGTTCGATTTCAGAGCTTCGGGTGGGTTCTTTCCATCTCCATGGTGATGACCCCTTCCCGAGAAGTAGCTTCAGTCTTAGGCAGGTCACAGCAACAAGGCAAAAATGAAAATGACAGGAAAACACAAAGTAGTGCAGTTGTCACTGTGGGAGGAGGTGGGTCCCAGGCGGCTGGCCCAGGACACCTGCACCTAGGTCGAGGCGGAAGAATGAGGGGTCTTGGGATCCTGCAGCTCTGGGGCTACGGCTGGAGGCTGGCTCAGGAAGTCGTTTCAGGATACCGTGGAGGATGCAGATGGGGCAGAGTGAGGAGACGTGGAGGAGGGCAGGCTCCAGGCCCAGCCCGTCACAGCGTAGACTCCAGGGACGAGTCCAGGATGTCATCCTGATGGCTGTTGCTGTTTGAGTCGCTGTCATAGCTCTGGGGGCTAGAGTAGTTGGCAGCCTCCTGCAGCCTCATCAGCATATTCATCTGAGGAAAGAGCAGGGCAGCGTGAGCATCATTCAGCCCAAGCACTGCCCTCCCCTGGCCTCCCAGACACTCACACCATCTCCTGTGCACTCACCCCCGGACTCAAGTGGAGGCAGAGCGCAAGGGCTGGTTTCTATACCAAGCTTCTAGGATTCAAATCTCAGCTCCATCACTAACCATCTGCATGATCTTGGGTAAGTTGCTTAGCCTCTTTGTACCTGCTTCTTATTGGTTGTAAGAAACCCATCCTATTGTGTTATAATACGGATTGAGTCAAGACACAACAGAGTGCTAAACACACAATCCTTACTGAATCTACTTTCTTTGGAATGAACACATCTTAACCCAGGTGTGCATGGCTGGGCAAAGATGCTGGTCTAAGGACCCAGTACCCAGAACATGAGTATCAGCATCACTGACAAAGGAAGCCATTTTCATGTCTGGGGAAGCAGACAGCCTCACTGAGCTGCCTCTGGCCAGAAATCAGTCTGGAGGCAACTGTGCACTTTAGCCACTGGTAAAAACCCCTGGCCAGGGGTGGGAAGTGCTCCTAAGCATGGTCTCTGACTGCAGGGAGGCCCAGGAATGTTGGGACCATCATGTGTCTGAGCCACTAGTTCCCCATCTGCAGAACAGGAGGCTGACAGTTGCTACCTCATGGGGATGATATGGAGACAAAGTGATGCAGTGTGAGGCCCTAAGAAGCAAAGCTGGCCTGACACATGGGTGTGTATAATAAATGCTACCCCATCTTAGACACTGGAGGCAGGGTTTTTCACTCTTCCCTGTTTGGGAGTAGAGACTAAAAACTGCTTTCATTTTCTCTGTAACTAGAAGCTGTATTCATTTTGCATTTCATCTAGCTGATCCAGCAGGTAAGTTAGGAAGCGAGGGCCAAGGCTGGGCTGTGGTGCACTGGGGTAAGATATCCAGCTGTCCATCCAGATGTGCACTCACACCAGCACAGTCAGGCTACAGGGGCCAAAGAGGAGGCCCCATCTGCTTAAGTCTGCCCATCCAGACTCAGTGAAGTAGAGGGGAGAGTAACTACAATGGACAATCCTTCATAGCCAGGCTTATTTATTCACTCTCAATTGCTCCTGGTGTACTGTTGTCTGTGGTTCTAAAACAAAAGCGGCTCCTAGCCTCAGGGAACGTTCTGTCTTGCCACAGACAGATGTCAGTGAACGACAGAGCTGTAATGAAGACCTATGGCTATGGGAAGGGAACAGAATTAGGGAGACATACCAGACATCCAACTTGGAAACTGGGGGCAGCTGGATTGGCGCAGCTGCCTTCCATGGGCCAGGTTCTGAGCTCCATAGCACAAGTGTTCTTGGCTGAAGAGAATCATCTGTGGGCTAACTATTCTCAGCCTCAGACAGCCTAAACTGTGTTTATGTAAATTAACACCTCCTCAGCTCACTCCTACCCAAAATGCCCCCATGACCTTGGCCTTTAGCAAGGTTATCATTAGAAATGGCTTGTCCAAAATAGGTTTCTTTCCTCTGGCAAACCACTATTGTCAACACTGCCAACTGTTCTGTGCACAGAAGCACACATAATGAATCCTTTTAGAATAGGGATGAGGCCCATGTGGCCTACAGGCCATGTAAGGTCCATGGAATCACTTGGTTTGACCCTGCCAAGACAACTGTAGGTGGGATTTGAAACTCAAGAAATCTATAGCAGGCTAATTTTTAAAACGATCATTTTGTGTGGCCTGTGTATGGTGTTATAAAATTTTCAGGTGGCCCTTGGCAGAAAAAAGGCTCCCCACCCCCACTTAGGATATTGCTCGTTAACATCCTCAGTAGTCCACCAATCACTGTGAAGGCAGAAAACCTATTATTATATTTTTATCAAGCAAATCAGTGAGTCACTGGGGAAGTTGTTTTTACTCCCATTACATCTTTCATGAATACTTTCTTTCATTAGATAATGCGACTAACAATCTCTGTTGTGTTTGTGTGTGTGTGGTGTTTTTTTTTTTTTTTTTTTTTGCCATAGTTGCCAAGAAAGTTAGGGGACGAGTTTAAGACATGCTAATTGTCTTTGAGCTGTGGGAGGTTTGGGTGTGTTCACTTCCTCCTTCTTCTAGACGGCTTTTGATTTAGTATGAATTCAGCAGATGACCATGTCAGGGTACTGTAATTGAAAGACACTCTGTCACTGGGGCTTGTGTTCTAGCCCAGCAGGGAAAGCTACCATCTGCAACACTGGCATCCCTGGCTGCTCAACTTCTGATCCAGCTCCCTGCTAATGCACCCGAGAAGGCCATGGAAGAACAGGGCTTCTGCCATTTTTGTGGGAGATCTGCATGAAGCTCCTGGCGTCTGGCTTCAGCCTGGTCCAGCCCTGGTGCAGCCATTTGGGGAGGGAACCAGTAGATGCAGAAGATTTGCTTTCTCACTCTTTGTAACTCTACCTTCCAAATCTCTCTCTATATATATATTATGCATATATATGGATTAATGTATTCGGTAAGATTTCCTCTTCTCAAAAAAAGATTTACTCATTTTTATTGGCTCTTCCATCCCCTGGTTCACTCTCCCAAGTGGCCAAAATGGCCAGGGTTGAGCCGATCCAAAGCCAGGAGCCAGGAGCTTCTTCTAGGTATCCCATATGGTTGTAGGATCCCAAAGCTTTGGGTCATCCTGTACTGTTTTCTCAGGCTACAAGCAGGGAGCTGGGTGGGAAGTGGAGCAATTGGGACAAGAACCAGTGCCCTTATGGGATCCTGGGTATGGCAAGGCAAGGATTTATCCACTAAACCAAGGCATCGGGTCAAATATGTCTTTTTAAAAAATGAAATAAGCTATTATTACTAGCTGAGGTGTTCTTGAAAGGGCCTTTGCAGCTTTAAGGAAGGCAGAGAAAGATACATAAGCAACATTGAAAACACAGTGACTCACTTTCCTAGCCAGACACCCTAATTCAGGTCCTCCTGGCCTCCGAGAGGCCCTCCTGCCTTCAGGCCTCTTCCTACCTTTCTCTTAGGCTCTGACCCTCAGTGCTGTCTTGGCATGCTTGGTCATCAATGGGAGGTAGCAAAGGAGCAAGGCAGCACACAATACAAAAGGCATCTCAAATCAGAAGGCAAACAGTGGTGAGCAATGGGTTGGGGGAGGTAGCAAGTTTCTAATATTTGCCCTTACTCCAGAAAATATTGCAGAAGGGCTAAAGGCTTTAACCTAAAACCACAGAAGAACGTATGGGCAGATGGGTAGCTAATCTCACGGAGGGTCCATTCTTCAAAAGCCAGATCATGCCTGGTTCCCATGTGGAGTTTCCAGAGGGTCTTGCATCATGCCCAATATAAACAAAGCACTCCACGAAGGCTGAGCTGAGGACTCACCAGTGGGTCTCCTTCAGCGTCACTGGGAGGCACCTGCTTGCTCGCGGAGCCCTCCCGAGGCATGGAGTAGCCGTCGAAGCCAACATCCTCCGGTCGGAGTTGCAGCAGGGGAGGCCACTCGTGCTGCTGTGGGCTGGCTGCCCATGGGTAGCTGTCCATCACCCACTTGGCGGGATCTTCCCAGGGAGCGCGCCTCCCGTAGAGCTGAGAATAGACAAAAAAAAAACCTCGGTGCTGGGGTCCGTGCAGTAGGTATGGATGACACGAAAGTGTGAAGAGAACAGCTCCCTGCTTGGCAGGGCCTGGGGAGCTTCCAGCTGTTTGGCAGGGCCCGGCGATTTCTCTCTGACCACCTTGACGCAGTCTCACCCCCTGTTTGCATGGACACTCAAGTATCCCACTAAGAATTCTGTAATCTATTGAGGCATTGTTTGCCCCTGTGAGATGGCTTTGGCAACTACTGTGAGCTTAAGAGTTAATGTTATTGATAATGTCTTAGTGAGTGGGCCTTTAACTGCGCACAGGAGTACAATTAAACCCATGCCATTTCTGGACACCTTATTGTGTGCCTACCCATTGCCCTGAAATCGGGCCCAGACACATAGCATGCCTTCTGGGAAACGGCTTAACAAGAATTTTACAAACTAATGGAAGTGATGGGAGTAAGAGCTGAAACTGCTATGGCAAAAATATAGTTGCTGTGACCTTAAAGGTTAACCTGTCCTTGCAACTCTTTAGAGCATAGAAAATGTAGCTACTTTAGCCACTTTCATAATCTTTTAACTAGAGGAAATATAGGATGATTCTATTAACATCACAGAGATATACTTTTGATTATTGTTTGATTGCTTATGAGGCTGTAGAGCCTGCAGTCGTAGGGGGATTTAATATTTGAAACTTTTTGTCTTAGACCCTTATATTTTTTCTCTTTTGATGTATTTCTCCCATTATGTGATAGATAAAGTTGTGAAAATAAAATGTAGTAAGAATGTTTTACTAATTAGTAGGTAACCATCTGTGCCTTGGCCTTGGAGTTCTGGCTGTCACCTAGTGGTCACTTCTGAAGAATGAATAACGGCTTGCTTTAAAGAAACTGATTATAGTAACTTACAGAATTATCTTTAAGAGCACCTGGTTGACCATGAAGTAAAAATTAATTGAACATCTGTGCATGCTGTCTTAGTTCTAAAGTAAAAGATAAAAAATCAAACGTTTGTGCAGAAGTTTGTGATGTGTCTAAGAAAATAAAAAGAACAGCTTCTTCTTGAGCGAGCTATGCTGAAAGCAAGCGAGCAAGCAAGAAGCAAGCAGGCAGAAAAAACGCAACAAGTGTCTGTGTCTTTCTTTATCGCCGACTCCACGCACCCTTCCCGAGCTCCAAACTCAGCTGGAGCTGGACTCCGGCACCTCGGTCTGCAAAAGTGTGCTGAGCTCTCTTACAGCCTGGATTCTGTAGCTTCCCGAATCACTCCCCAGACCAGCAAGCACCATGCTTTCACTTCCAAAACTTCCGTCCAAGTAGTCATCTGAGACGTACAGAGCGCGAGGTGCTAAATAACAAAGCAATGAATGGGAGCTTGTAGTTACAAGCTTTGACCTCTGGCTGACCTTGATCTCATCTGAGCTCACCAACCCACTCACCTCTAAGCCTTGGTAGTCCAATTTGGAACACTGGCTCTTGGAGGGGGTCGAGTAGAGGGATCACCACCCATATTGGAGGCATTTGCCAATTTTCATGGGGTAAACACTCCCACCAGAGTGGATTTGAAACTACGAACCTGCTACCACTGAATAAGGTATCAACTCTCAGCTTTTAGTGCCAGCTCTAGCACCCCATTAGGTGCATCCAACCCAAGAATCACCTCTCCATACACATGCACGCTGAAGGCCAGTCAGCCATTTGCTGGTAAAGGTCACAGAGCCTTGCTTCAGTAAAGGCCATTGCCTGAAAGTGGCCAGCCTCGCAGAGTCCCTCTGTAGTTGTGGGTCCTTTACACAGCAGGGACTAAGGAAAGGCTGCACTCCAGTGATGTCAACTCCTCTCCAGTGAGGGACTTGACAATTGAGTGTGACAACCAACTTGCTTTTGAAATAGTAAGCTACACTATCACTTTTTAACATTTTATTTCTTTTATTTAAAAGGGAAAGTGAGTGGGGTAGAGGAAAAACAGGGGCGCGGGGAAGAAGAAAGAGATCTTAAATCTGCTGGCTCATTCCTTGAATGCTTCCAATAGCCAGGGCTAAGCCAGGTCAAAATCAGGGGCTTGGAATCCCAGTGTGGGTGGCAGGGACCCAAGCTTATGAACCATAACCTGCTGCTTGCTAGGGCACATATCCACCAGAAGCTAGGATCAGAAGTAGAGCAAAGACCTGAACACAGAATTCCAATACGGCATGCAGTGTCTTAAGTGGTACGTAAACTGGGTGGGGCGACAGAGCAAGGTGCCCAGTTCTCGGCCACTCTCACTCCACTCAGCTGTAAGATTCCTGGAAGGATGGAGGGGCAGAAACACTGACTGTGGTCGCCTATCTTTCCCCACTCCAGTCCTTCTGCTATTGCCTGGGTTCCAGGGTCTTTGTACCCAGAGGTCTCCTGCAGGAGGTATGCCTCTCAGAATCACAGAGGAAGCTGCCTGGCCAATGCATTCCCCCCATTTTTTATCACAGCTGCCCAGACTTGGCTTCCTGCCTGGGGTCTGTCTCTGTCAGCAAAACCTGAGGCCAGCACTTTGAGAGCCCATCATGCCTTCACGGAGCATCTGGCCAGGCAGTCTGCAAATGACAGCTCTTCCTTGCTGACCCCAACTGGCACTGTGTGAAGGCCTTTTGAGCTTCATTGCAGACAGCCTAAAAACACACTCTTCCAGTACCAGCTGCTCAGTGTGTGCAGATAGGGGATCTAAGGCCAAGAGGCGAGAGACTTTCCCAACGTCTACAAGCTGTCAGGGCCATCTGACAAGTCCACCCCTCCACAGTTCCTGCTCCCTGTAGACCTCAGGCCTGCCCTGGCCACAGCGATCTTCTGAGCTCCTCTGTAGACTTCTGACACTTTAGCAAGTGTTCCTGACGACAACTCCAGAGCAGAACAGGGCTGGGGCCTGAGTCATAAGACAAACGCATGAGAGATGCCTGCTAACACCGTCCATGAGAACAGAAAATATTTTTACAAGCTTCACTTCTTTGCCACTGGACATGTTCAAGTTCAGGTGAAGAATAGCTGGGTAAGTACCATGGCGAGCAAAGGAAATAGCAGGAAGCTCCCTGGCTCCACTGCACGGCTCCCAAGGGCAGGAGCAGAGACAGGCAGGCAGAGAGAACATTCATTTTCCCCAGGGCTGGGAGGGAGCTTGGCATCCCTTGGGTTACAGAGAAAGGAAATGGGATAACTCGGAGTCAAGATGTTGGAAACTGAAATCTGGGTCACTTGTGAGCCTGGTAGTATATGGGACCATCAAGGTACACAGTAGGAAAGTACCTCCAAGCAGGATACACCCTCATGCGCTTACTAATCCCACCAATGAAAGATTTTGAAACCCAAACTGCAAAGCTACCTGATATCCACTAGGGGGTGATCCCATACTTCCTCCAGGTAGATGTGTTTGCCAGCAGGGCTGTGGAAGCTGAAGGTGAGCTTACAGCAGGAAGGCTCTCTGTTCTCTACCGTCAAAAGCAGTTCCCCTTACCTGCAATCCTGTCAGAATCCACTCTAGGGCCTCTGACTCTTTTCAGATCCTAACCTTGGGCCTGCAGGGTGCTTCCTCCGTGGCCACCCACCTGGGTTGCATGAGGTGCGGGAAAATACAATGAAAAGCTTGTGTGGAGGGAAACAAACCTTTGAGATCTACACGTAAGTTTTGCATTAGGTGAATTTTCTGGATGGAGTCATAGAGTCAGGTCTATACATTCCAGCCAGGCTTGGCCTCTAACTCTTGCTACATCACACCCCACTTGGGGAACTTAGTAGGGCTCAAAATCTTCCGGAAGCCTCAGTTTCCACATCTGTAAGACATTCACTGGGCTGCAGGAACTAAATGAGATGATATTCATCAGGCCCGAGTTAGAGCAGAAGAGAGGTTTGAAATGAGACAGCAGTAAGAACTGAGTAACTGGGATGTTTCCACTGGTCTAAGAAAATAGGAAGACTGGGTGGCGGTTGGGGTTTGTACTAATAAATCGATCTGACTAAATTGTGGCCAATTTCCCTGGACCAGCAACTCTACCTACCAAGAGAGAGGCCATTGCAAAGATCTTAAATTGTTCACTCCTTCTGTGCATTGACAGAGCATTGCTAACCAATGACTTGGTGCTGGCCCCCAAATGCTGTTGCTTTCTTGCTTTGCAGTAAACACGTGTCTGTGCAGTGAAATACCTGTCGTATGAGGCACAATACCTTCCTCTTCAAATCCCTTTGACAATGAGTGTCTCTGAAGACCACTGCCATTGCTACATGATACAGACATAAAGTGGTTGAATATCTGCCAGGCTCAACCGAATGTGGATAACAAGCAATGTTGCCACACACGTGTGGCAGGGACACACTGCTCCTGTGCCCTCTAAGCACGCAACCAACAGCATCCTTGTCTGCCACTGCGCAGAGCTGAAAAACAGAAAGCAACCCTGGGCAACCATGCAGAACTCTGCAGAGGGATGGTTCAATTACACACACTGCCTGTTTACGGTTCAGTGTGTTTGCTGCAGGCATGCAGAATTTCTGAGGCTGTCTCCAGGCTCAACTATAAAACAGCCCAAGCACCAGTTTAATACGAAGATATGAGTGCTGAGTGAGAAAAAATTTGTGCTTTCCGGCTTTTTAGGGCAGGAAGAACTTGTAGCTAACCTATGAGGGTCCCTGATGTGAGAGAGTGAGTGCCACATTGTATGAAGGTTAGGTACCTAGAATTCTACCCAGAATTCATGGATTCAAATTCAACATCCCTCAAGTTTTACTTTTAAGACCTGGATAAATCATTAAGTTCTCTTTGAGCCTTTTATAAACACAGAAAGGAGGCAGACATTTGGTCTGGTGGTTAAATGCCTGTGTTCCATACTGCAGTGCTTGGCTTCAACTCCTGGTCTGCAGACTCTGGGAGGAAGTATAAGTCACTAGGTACCTGCCACCCAAACGAGGGACCTGGACTGGATTCTTCGTTCCTGGCTTTGGACTGTCCCAGGCCCAGGCATTGCATGCATTTGGGGAATGAATCAAGAGAAGAGAGCTCTGTCTCCCAGAGAAAGAAAGGAAGGAAAAAGCAAGCAAGCAAGCTAATGAAACATGGGGTAAGAGTAGAGCATGCATTGTGGCACAGTGAGTGAAATTCTCAGTTGGAACTTCCACATGCCATATTGATCTGCCAATTCAAGTCCTGGCTACTCTGTTTTCAACCCGTATTCTTGCTGATGTTGGGCAGCAACAGATAATGGCTCAAGTGCTTGGGTCCCTGCCACCTACAAGAGAGACTTGGATGGAATACCTGGCTTTGGCCTCTCCCATCCTTGGTTGCTACAGGCTTCTGGGGAAGAAACCAGTGGATGCATGAGATCTACATCTCTTCTTTCTCTCTCCATCTTTCAAGAAGATGAGAGTAAACCAACATTAAAAAGACAAACATAAGGCAAGTTTGGGACTGTTGTTGTGAAGCAGCAAACTAGAGTGACCACTTGTGATGCTGGGACCCTATTTTAGAGAAGTGCTACCAGTCCTGGCTACTCCATTTCACATCCAACTCCCTGTTAATGTGTCTGGGAAAGCAGGGAAACACGGTCCAAGTACTTGGGCCCCTGTCAACCATGTGGTAGATCTGGATGCAGTTTTGAGCTGTGGGTTTTGTTGTGGCCATTTGTGGAGGGTACCAGTGGCTGGGAGATCTCTTTCCACCATTTCCTTGCTCCCTATCACTCTGCCTTTTCAAATATGAAAACATATAGACCCTTTAAAAAGAAAGCAAAAGTTTAAAGAAGAAAATCAGAGATAAAAAACAAAACACTCTGTCCAAATCCCAGGACTACTCCCGGGTTTGACTCAAAGAACAGATATGAGGATAATACCGCAAATTGTGAAGTGCCACACATGTACGTACACACACACACACACACACACACACACACACACACACACACACACACACACACAGTGCTTATTATATCGAGCACTTCATAGCCATGATCTCATTCAATCCTGACAACATTTCTTTGGGCAAGACCGTGTTAATCAGCCTCTTCTATCAATGAGGACACTAAGGCACACACAGTAAGTGACCAGCCTGAAGCTGATACGGTAACAGCAACAGAGCCCAGCTTTGCAACTGAGCACCCCTGTACTGTGCTACAGACTAATGGCCTCACCAGGATGGGGCCATCACCTCATCTGGGCCCAGAAAGGTCCCTTGGCTTTGCAGAGACAAGCAATGGTGCACAGCTCACCTGGAGGCCCTCTCGCACGGCTTCCAGGAGGTAGGGGATGATAGAGTAGTTCCATAAGTCTGTGAACCACACCCTCGAGCCGTCCACATCAATGGGGCATGACAGGAAGAGCCTGGGCCCTGCGAAGCACAATGAAGACACATGAGAACAGAAATGGGAACGTGGCATGGCAAGCTGGGATTGCAGCACTCCTCCCAGGACACAGCACAGGGGGTTCTGGGCAGTGGCAGGGCTGAGCACACTTGGAACAGTTTGATACCCTTGATCACCCTGGGTCTCTTTGTCCTTGAGAAAATCATCCCAAAGAGAGTATATGCTATTAATGAATTCTGACCTGCAAAAATGGAAGACCCAAAGGGGTCCATTCTGCCTACACCTGATTATTTTGGGGCCTTTCACAATAATCTTGAATACTGAAGAGATGGTGTGAAGTGAGAAGAAAGGAACATACTACGTAGACACTGTGGGCACATGAACACACTGTCTACAGACAGGCAAGGACAGAAGAAACAAGCTCAAACTAAAGGGCTTATGTCAGCTGGGTGGGACAATGGGCAATCTTCTCTCCTCTCTTGTAGGCCCATTAGCTTAAGCAATGTTGTCACAACTACTGTTAAAGCCAAACCCTCTCCCGAGGGCAGTTTCAATCTGCAGGACACTTGGGCATTTGGGCGGCCATGCTGGTCACTGTGGCCTGTGTCATCTCAGAGTGTGGTTGTCTCTTGCCTCCTGCATATCCCCGTGGACGGTCTAGCATCTTACAAGTTGCAGTCCTGGCCAGGGCCCAAGGAAAGTCTTCCCTGCAATCCCCACCTTGAGCCCACCCAGCTGCCCACTTACCAATGGTGACATCTGAGGAGCTGTGGGCCTCCAGGAAGCGGTTGAGGTGATGCCAGACCTTAGGAATCCAGTCAATGATCTTGACCAGCTCCACATTCCGCACCCGCCCACTGATTTCCGTCTCCATGAGCTTCCTCCTTAGGAACCGGCCGAGGAAACCTTTTACAGGCTCCGTGTGGTTGGCACAAAGCACCCACCTGGTGGAGGGGAGAGGGCAGAAGCCAAGATGTTTTTTAGTATGATGACAGTAAGAAAACAATGCTGAACTCCAGGAGGAAAAGCTAACATGGTCAGTTGCTAAATAGAGGTCGCTGGGTATCAGACACTGAAACAGGACATTGATCTCATGACCCACGGGGCCTTAAGGCAGTTCTAGCACCATCAGCCCCCATTTTATTGATAGAAATGCAGAGGGACAGGCAGGCTGTGTAACTTGTCCAGGATCAGACCCTTAATAGCAAGGCAGTAGGGCTCTACTCTCTGAGATCTATCCACTGAGGCACACTTCTTCTTGGGCTCAGTGTCAGGCTCTGGGACTGTAACAATAGCTAAGACCAGTCTCTGTCCAATCAGGTGCTCCTGGTAACACGCAGCAGCGACTACGGGGATCAGGGAAGGGTCTCCGAAGGGGGCCTCTCTCACCAGAGGACAATGGAGCAAGTACCAGAAGGCAAGGCAGGTGTGGAAGTTGGGGTGGGGTGTGGAGCAGCCTCTACAGAGAGAACTGTGGGATGTCCAAGGCAACTGCCAGAGGTTCTGGACTGGAACCTAAGTGTAAATGTGACCTGCCCACTCCAGAATCCCAGCTTTCATTATGGAGGTAATGGAGCTGCTAAGGGCTCTAGGGTCAGATCTGCCACAGATTCCAGAATGGATTGTCATAGTGCAGAGGCCAGCCTGTGGCAGTACAGAAGATGACTGCAACAGTGCCCCAGGGGGGATGGTGTGGCAGTGATGAGGGAGAACTTGTAGCACATTTAGGAGAAAGCCAGGAGTTGGCTAGGACTGGAACAGCATGGAAGTGAGGTAGCCTGCAGGAGTTGACAATTCTAGGTTTACTACAGTGCAGATGCACTGAAACAGACCTCACTCTGAGATGCCTGCAAAGTGGCCAGTGAAAACAGCCAGGGCTGGTGGGGACTGTCCTGGTCCAGGAGATGGTTCCTCATTCTCACCCAAGTTCCAAGACAGGAGAGGCTCAGGATAGGGTGAAAGAGGCCAGAAGTGATACAACCTTGGAGGAAAAAGTGGAACAGGAGAGTCCCTGATGTTGAGACAGGGAATTCTTGCTGACTTGGGATAGAGATGCAACATCCACAACACATAGTGATAATGTGATATTGTGTTCAAAGCTGTCTCCTTGACATTGCCCCAGAAGGACGTGGATTCCAACCTGCCTAGCTGTCTGATCTCATACTAGGATACTGTATTCCCCAGCCTTAGTTTCCCCAATCTGTAAGAATCATCAATTTAACTTACTGAGGCTGAGATGAAAATTAAAAGTGTTAGGCTGAGAACATGCTTACCACAAGGCTCTGGATATAATGCAAACTCTAAAGAGGCTTTTCTACATCACCTTTCGTGCTTGCTTTCATTGTGATTCCATCATTTAACATGATACAGGAGAGGTTATATCTTACCTGAAGTTATGATGAAGCTGCAGATTGGGAGTGGAAGAGGTAGCCTGGTTCATTGTGCCAATGATGTAAGGGCTGTGGGGGAACATAAATGAGAATAAAGCTTGTAGGCAAAGCCCAGCTAGAGAAATGAGTGCTTGCAGGGCCTGCGGGGAGGCAGCTGGACATCAAGCTGCCTTTTCTCCACCCCCACCCCACAACATACGTGTACTGCTTCACCAGCACCCTGGCCCAGGCCACCCGCATGCATAGCTGCCCATCAGAGCACAGTGCTTCCCCAGGGTTCACAAGGTTTGAACTTGGCCCTTACCATTTATGGTACTTGCAGTTGAGCAGCCCGTTGAAGATCTCGCCCAGGGAACTAACATGATGCAGGTTGTCCAGGATGATGACGAGCGGCATGTCCACTGCATTGTTCTCACTGTTGCACTGATCGGCAAGGTTGGACAGGTACTGGCGCAATTCCTACAGCAACCAGGAAGGCAGGGGGAGGGCAAGTTGAAGGCGGCCTGAGGAAGTTGCCATGATTGGGGCCCTGCACTTCTCCTAGGCCGAGAGGCGGATGGGCTCTTTAAAAATGCTGTGCTGTGAACATACGTTGAGCACCTGCATGGTGGGTCATGGGCTTGGTGCACAGGAAGGCATAGGAAGAGCAAGGCTTGAGGCTTGCCCTCTGCCATTTATTGGAGAACTGCTGCAAAATCATCACTTAAAAACATGTCTTCATGTTCGTTCTGTTTGACTTTTCTTTAAGAGGGAGGGTGAGGGAGAGATTTATCAAGGGGTTGGTAAGGGTGGAGGGAGGGAGGCAAGCTTGTAAGAGTCAGGGACTGGGTTAGGCTGAGAGCCAACAACTCAGTTGGAGTCTCCCGTGTATGTGGCAGGGACTTAACACACTTGAACCATCTGCTGCCTCCCAGGGTGCCCACTGGCAAGCAGCTGGATGGGAACTAGAGGTAGAGGGACTTGAATCTAGCCACTGTGATATGGGTTGCAGGTAGCCCAAGGGGAATGTTAACCACTGCACCAAATGTCCACCACCACTGGCATGACTTTCAATCCTTGCTCTAGCACTTCTCCAGAAATGCCACTTTTCTTGATATTTCTTATTATGCCAACTTCCCAGCAGGCTCTTGCAGGGAAGTGTCTCATGCATATCCGTCCTGTCCAAGCACATGTCTGGCAGCTAGATACACAGAAGCCCTTCCTAAGTCAGTGTAGAGAACCCAGAACACATGCATCATGTATATTAGTACTGTGCCAGGTACACAGGGGGAGATGCAGCTACCTGCAAGAGGACCCTGGAGGATGGAAAGGGAGAATTATTTCTGAAGGATGGGTGGACACTGATTGGCCCAATATGCCTGGGATAAAGGATGTACAGAATAAAAGGAAGCAGAGGGACCATTGTTTTGTCACAGTGGTTTAAGCTACAACCTCCAATGCCTGCATTTCATATGGTCATTGGTTTGAGTCTGGGTTGCTCCACTTCCAGTCCAACTACCCACTAATGCATTGGGGAAAGCAGTGGAAGATGATCCAAGTCTTGGGGCCCTTACACTTACGTGGAAGACACTGATGAAACTACTGGTGGCTGGCTTCTGCCTGACCTAGCAGAGGCCACTGCTGCCATTTGGGGAAGAAAATCAGCAGATGAAAGATCTTTCTGTCTTAACCTCTCTTTCCATAATTCTGCCTTTCAAATAAATAAGGCAGAAAGAAATTCCATTCTCTGGTTCATTCCCAAAATGACCCAAATGACCAGATCCTGACTAAGTAGAAGCCAGGAGCCCAGAACTCCCTCTGGGTCTCCCATAAGGGTAGCAAGGGTCCCAGTACTTAAGCACCTAAGCTTTCATTAGCTGTTTTCCAGCTGTATTAGCAGGAAGCTGGATGTTAAGAAGTAGAGCAGCCAGGACTCAACCTGGAATTCTGCAGGTGCTCTAAGCTATGGCTTGGATCACTAAACCACAACACTGGCCCCTTTCAACTCCCCTTCACTGTGGGGATCTTGCAACAAAGCATGTGACATAGCACCTTGTGACAAGGTGCTTGTAACCTGGAGCCCACCCTCCCTTACTCAAGCCAGTGGTAGATGGTTGGTGATCTATGCTTGGTATGCAGGTGCCTTGCCCAGGGGTCTATGTGAGGACCTGGCATATACTCCATACCTACATTCTAGGAAAGGGTGCCTTGTCTAACTCACTCAAGGGCCCTCCCTAGAGCTGCTCTCTTGTCCTGCTCCTACATCAAAATTGTGAGTGGCACAGATTCCCTGTCTTACATGTATACTGGCACAGCTGATTCTGAAGGCATCGAGCCACTTCCCATTCCCCTTTGATGCCCCTGCCTCTTTGCATAGGGTCAGGGGAGTGAACGATCCATCAATTCTCACACTACATGGACACAAACTCACACTGAATGGACAAACAGGTCTAAGAAAGCACTTCACAGGCCTTGCCTAGGGTGGGGTCAGACCTCATTCCAGTGGGTTTCCAGCATGCACTGCGGGATAGATACAATGCAACCTATTTTCTGGCCATAGCATTCAGGAGTCTAAGACACATCAAATGTGAGCATCTATTCCTCTGCCAAGTATCATTTCAGTGACCTTGAGCCATGACTCCTGCCTCAAGCCTCTTTTTCTCTACAAATTACAAATCATAAAAACTACTCCTTAGAAGATATCACTGTAAGGAGGTTAGTTTGCTGGTCATGGACCGATCACTTCACCAATGTGAGCTGATCACTTCACCAACGTGAGCTACTGTTACTGCCACTTTGATTGTTAATTTTACCAATGGGATGCCACAAAAGGTTTATTCTGGAAAAACATTAGGCATATGATTAAAGAACACCGAGCATCAGCATGAGGTAGAGCAATTTAACACAGGTGCTACTTTCTGCTGGAAGGACTGGACTCCAAGACTCCTTTCTGCTTGCCCCAAGCTGACACCTTCCCTTCCCTGTTTTCTGTACCCATCAGAGCTCAAAATGACCTTCTCACCTTGCTGGACTTGTGGTCCACGTTAAAGGTGGCGATCACCCCATCAGTCAGTTCTCGTCCTTCTCGAAGCACCATGTACTCAGACAGACGGTTGGCCAGGTAGGTCTTCCCAGTGCCGCTGGGGCCAGAGAGGATGATCCGCCGATGCTCCACCAGCAGGGACACATAGCGCTGCAGGATGGGCTTGGGAATCAAAGACTCAAACACCAGCGAGTCCAGACTGTTTTCTGCCAGCCCTGAGTTAGAGAGGGAGAGACAGGAACATCTGAGGTCGGCAGAAGGGGGAGTTCTCTAACTGGGAAAGTACTGAAGCTATCCGGTTTCTTGGGAGTCTGCTCACCTGAGACCCTTTTGCTCCCAGGTACACCAGAGGCAGAGGAAACTGGCTGTTCCAGGAGGACACCTGCCTGCTCATTAGCACACTGTAAAAGTTGTGGCTGACTCTTCTAGATTCAGATTCACCATTGATTGCTCAGCCCCAAGTTCTGGTCTGTCCTCTCCAGAAGCAATCAGGTCCTGGGCCCTGTTTGTCTGTTTGGGTTTATTATACCAGTGATGCCTGCCCAAGCCAAACTGATGCCTGCCACTGCCTCTACTCTTCCATCTTTGCTGCCTGCTGGGGGCCAGTGCCCCCCACACTGAGATGGGCCACAAGGGCAGCACCACTTCCATCTCTGAAATGAGGAAAACATTTGGTCGGGATGACACTCTGCTGGCTCTGCCTGCGGACCAGAGATGGTCTCCACAAGAAGCCGTTGAACTTATCTGGACAATGAAATGCTGGACTCTATGCTTGGTATATGCTTACAACGAAGAAACCCCAACTGAACTTGAACTGTGGCAATGCAGCAAGGTAGAGAAATCCACTATTGGGGGAGGGTTGGGGAGGGGTGGGGGGAATCCCAGTGCCTACAACTGTGTCACATAATGCAATGTAACAAAATTTAAAAAAAAAAAAAAGAAATGAGGAAAACATGCAAGCCAAGGTTTGAGGACACTAGCAGAGTCAGGCTGAAATGCTGCAGGTGGAGGCCTCTGTCCTCAGTCACAATGAGTGGAAACTTCTGTCCTTTCTCTGCCTGAGGTGACCTCATTAATCAAAAGATTGCTGACTTTAACAGAGCTACTTTTCTAATACTTGTTCCAAGAAAAGATTCATTCAAGGTTACTTGAATGGAACCTAGGGCAATTTTGTTTAAAACATTCCTCTAAAGAAAATCAGTGTATGCAAGATAAAGCAAACCCGAGGGCCAGAGGGTATTCACTGTCTTACAACACCATCTTCCTATTAGATAATTATTCGCTGCTACTATGGCCACCCTAAAGTGTTTATATGCTCGTTTCTAATCCTCCCCCAGTCAAGAAGCCCCAAATGCAATGACTGCTTCAGAATGACCATCATGACCATCTTCAAATGCCTTATCAGCTAGATACAGGCCTGAGATTTTTCTTTGCAATAAGCGCATGCAGCTCACATCGGCTCACACCTCGATGTAAAGGATGGAACCAGGGTTCCCACACTTAATCATAATAACAGAAACCAACAGCATGGGAATTGCACACAAGACACTTTTCTCTGTGTATCTACTGCCTCATCTGTTTATAAAACTCCTTAGAGAATACCTAACTTGCAGATGAATTCACTTCAGAATGTGCAATATCACACCTGGGGCTTGGAACCACTGAAGCGAATCACTATAGTTTGTTGTGCTCTGAAGGGTTAGGTTTCAAGCACCTCAGGAAAATAGAAGAGTCAGGCATCAGTGAAAAAGTAAACCCCAGCTGATGCCTTCCGATGCTAAAACAGGATGTGCTGAAAGCCATGACAGATGGTGCTCTATGGAGAGTGACAAGCTCTTCGGATGCATATGCTCTCACTACTGCTCCTACAGAGCTTTGCTCTGCTCTCAGCAACTGGTCACACATTTAAATCCTCAGTGGATGTGACGCATACTTGCAAAATGAGCAGGTGAACAAGCTTGACAGCAGCGAGGAGACTCAATTTGAGCCCAGGGCATAAAGCTCTCCATCTCCTTAAACAATTCTTGTTGGACTCAGCTGGCCTCCCTCTCCTGTTTCTCCTTATGGTAAAACTCTTCTGTCCCATGTGGGGTTTATTCCAGATGGGTCATGTGGAGCTGTCCCCACCCCTTCATTCACTCAAAGGCAATGAGTTATGACAGAGCTTGTACAAAGTCTCTCTGGTCCCTCTCCAAGGTTCATGATGGGCATTTGACTCAAAGAGAGTTGGAGGCAGTCCTGGGAATTTCTGTGACACTTTTCCAGAAAGACCCCTTTCCTTCAGGTTCTTAAACTAGAAGAATGATTGAGAACTACCACAGGGGCTATTTCATTGACTGTGTGCAGAGAGCTCAGAACACAAGCCAAGCAGTGACAAATCCTGATGACACAACTTGTACACGCAGCTCAGGCTGTGCCTGGATTGTATTCCTGGATTGCTCTGATCCCGGAGCCTCTCTCTACTTCTTTTGTTGAAACTGCTACTTTTGAGTGGGTTTGTCACCTGCAGTCCAAGAACACAATTGTGTGGGGCCCTAATAAAATGTAGAGCTCGGCTCCAACACAATGAGACCTTGATTCTTGTTGACTGGGAATGCTGGGTGCTCTTGGAAAACTGACTATGCTTGCTGCCACCAACTCCAAACCTGCACTGGTAAAAGGCATGATTAACACCTTTCAAGGAATTCAGACACTAGATAACACAAAGGGTAAACTTCGTAGAGCATTTATCAAAGCCTAGTTCTCAGATGTTGCACAGAACACAAAAAATGATGGGTTTGTGGTCACACAAATTTTGGAAGAGGCAGGATTAAGAAAACCTCGAGGAGCACCAGTTAGGACACCAAAGGACAGACGTCTTACACACCAGTGTTCTGTGCTCCAGCGCCTAAACCTCAAATAGGATGTGATGCTGCTTCCTGGACTTATTTGGCCACAAAATATTTTTTTCCCACCAAGGAACCTGTGGGCCTGGATTCCATGGGACACATTTGCCCTGGAGCATAACTTCTCTACTATGCAATGAAGCAACGAAGTTCCAGCAGCACTGTGCGTGGGCAAAAGCTTCGGCAGTTTCATCACAAAGCTCTGTAGTTTAAAACAAATCGTGGTTTCCCCATCTGTAGAATGGGATCATGGCCAATGCTTGTTGGCAGGAGAAATTCATCAGAATTGGTAAAGCCCTGTTTCCACAACATTATTAAGATTCTAACCCCTGGAGTCATGAAGCTAATGGGATCTTTTGTTATATAATTTCAGCAATAAACTACAATGATTCATTTCCAGCCATGGCTTAAAAAAACTACAGATGGTTCAACTCACTTAGGTAAGAGAGACTGTGGGAAGAAAAAATCCAACCACGCACCCACACATATATGCTAAAATAACATTATGCCTACAGTCCTTTGCCAAGTCACAGAATAAACACTGCCATCCTGACACCCGTGCCCTCTGCAGGCAGGCCCAGTTACCTTTGACAGTGACAGAGATGGTGGTGTTCTCACCAACCAGATAGCCACAGGGGAGCAGTTCAGGTGTTTCCGAAGTATTGCTGCGTTTGACTTCCCCAATGCTATAGCCCAGGACGCTGTCCGAATTCAGCCCCAGCTGACTCACTGGGTCGACATGAATGATGTACTCCTGGAAAATAAATCAAATGTTTAAGACTGCAACAAAGACATGGCTGGGATCTGCCTGGGATTCATGTTTTCATTGGGTGATTAATGGACAATTTCTCTTCTTTCTCAGATAAGATTGAGGTGTGAGTGATGGGGATGACATCCTAGGAGTGTGGGCTTCTTGACATCAGAATTCAATTGGCTAGGGATTGTTGGGGTAGATGGGAAATGTAATAAACTTCTGACAAGATTCTGAGCACTTAGTCTATATGCACAAAGCAGAGAAAAACTACGCTCTTTCTCCTAAGTTTCTGATCTAGCCTGAAGCCTTAAAGACCTAAGTACCTAAAGATGGTGCAGGAAAGTTTATGAAAAGCAGCTTTTCAAAAAGGAAATCCTTTCACCAGCTCTTTCTTCTGGCTTACAGCAAAGACCACACTGAGACTGATGCAGAGGGCAGAACTCGGAGCTGCTTCAATAAAGCAACTTGAAGGCTTCAAACAGAGGCGGGGAGGGGTGTGGTATGGTGTGTGGGGTGTGTGTGTGTGTGTGTGCGTGTGAGAGAAAGAGAGAGAAAAGAGGTGTTACTTGAGTGACCAAAAAGCTATAGGTCAATCAACCTGGATCCCAGGTACGTGGTCTGTGAGGTGGCCCAGGGGAACTGAAGCAGATCCCCAGCCACAGGCCTGAGTATTCTCGGCTCTACCTCTACTGTGACATTTTAGAGAGTAGCTTCTAGTTCACACTGCTGCTGCTGTAACCCCAGGACATGTCAACAGCTCGTGTTGCCTGGATAACAGAACCTGTACTAAGCTCTCTGATTCTTTCTTCTTTCCCACTCAATGTTCCTACACACTGGCTTCCAAGAAGGGCAACAAGTTTTGTCAGAGACTGGAATTTGCTCTGTGTGAAGCCACATGGCTTTGAATGCTTCCCAGAGATGGGAGGGTACCAGCTGAGCTAGGCTTTAAAGTCAGAGCACAAACTAGGTCAGCTCCATCTGGTTCCAGAGCTATCATCTTAGGTAAACTCAGCCTCAGTTTCCTCCCAATTCAACGAGAAAATAAAGGGTACAGCATGGCCTCTGGCACATGCACACACTCCCACACACACAGACCCATGGGCTATTATCACCACCCAGACGATGGGATTAATAATGAACACTTACAGCTACTGACTTACTTTAGGACAACAGAAAAATGTACTGGAGGTTTCTTTCAAATGATATTGTGTTCCATGATTCACCCGAGTGCTCATCAGTCATTTCTTCTGGCAAACTCTCAAACTGATGTTGTGATTAGAAAAATAACAGTGCCAACGCCCTTGACACTGGCCATGAATCATATGCTAACCTCACCTATGGCTTAAGTCAGACTCTAAAGTACAGGCACAGAATGCTGGACATGGAAGAGCAAATATTCAAAATATGGCTAGAAATCTGATGCCTTACGTCAGCCACAGATCACTTACTGAGAGGCATACTGAAGAGGATACAATGGTAAGGTACAACAAAGATCTGCAATTCACTGTGAGAGGATCAAATAAACAATTGCTCCAGTGACTCACTAGCTGGCCAACCACTGCCAAAGGCAGGTGCAAAAATTCTACACTTACCATCATCCTTCTGTTACCTTGAGGGTCGAGGGACAAGTCACAGCAGCAGATGATGATAAGGGGGCAGTCCCAAGAAACACCCGGGTTCAGGACTCATATCTCCCATGCCCTCCCCAGGCCAAGTTCCCACAGCAGGTGTATCGACACCAAGGTCTTCCTGAAGCACTTACTTTGAACAGGCGTCTAACCACCCCATCGAGCACATCCCACTTCGTCTTGCCACTAACTCCAATGCAGCCAATAAGAAAGAGGTGTGGTCTGGAGTCCTAAGGGTAAGGAAATGTACGCAGGTGAATAACAGCTGGGTCTATAGTGACTTTATTTAGTTGAGCACCTAGAATGCTTTAGATCTCCGCCAATGGTGTCAGAGGGGAACAGAAATCCTGTTTATAGTAGCATCAGATACAATTCAGCCTTAAAACTCCTTCCTACTCTACAGTAGCTGTAGAGCTATTCTGTAGCTCTACACCTATGAGAGCAATTCACAGCTACAACAGCAATCCACGGGTCATGGGACCTCCTCTCTGGGTTCCAGCCCCAGTGCTAAGTGTGACCCCAATCAGTATGTGCATTTCACATCCTTGTCTGGAATACTCTCCTCCCTGTGTCTGTTATCACTCCCTTTTCAAAAACTGCTTATGAACTCACCTCTTCCAGGATGCCTTCAGTAATTAACCCAAGCGGGCACAGTTTACACTGCTTCACAGGTTCTGAACACCATTTATATAATGCGTGTTCTGTAATTGTTCATATGTAGTTTTAGCTCTTTTTTTATTTTTATATCAGTTGTCTCCTGCTAGATTTAACACTTCAGGATAAAAGAAAGTTCTATCCTTTTCTTCTTTTAAAAACTAACATTTATTACTCTTCTTCTAAGCATCATTTAAACATGTTCAATTCAGAAAACTTGTAAACCTTTAGGAAGATCATTTTCTTCTACTTTTGTACCTCTATACAGCAGGGCATAACTGATGAAAGCTGACAGGACACTGCATCTATTGGGATTTTAAATATCTGACACAGTCTTAATAATGGAGTTAGCGGGGGTAAGGCTGGGTGAAGGGAGCAGAGGCAAAAAGCAGTTAAGCAAAGTCAGCAGAGCAAAGAGAACCAGTCTTACAGTGGGACGACCTGACCTGCCAATTGCCACGTGGCCTCAAGGAGTAACGCTTGGGCCCGGGGTTTCTTCATGCAGATGACAACCCCTGGTCAGCCAGCCTCACCTGCATAAGTTTTGAAAGTAACCTGGAGGCTTCTCTCTGGTGAAAATTCTGTTCACACTGACGATCGCTGCCATAAACCAGATTTGTATTATCTTCACTTATGAAAAAATATGTCTCCCCTCTCTACTTGCTAATTCTGAAAATGGTGATATAAGCTGTATCTTCCCAGGTTGGGTGATGCCAAAATGCTCACAAGTTTGGGTGGCTCTTTTCAGTGGGGCTAGCCCATAAGCCGCAAGGTGGGACCCCCAAATAGAGACAAATCTGGCTGCAGATGCTTTGTTTTGGTGGGTGCTGAGGATTTGTCTGAAATAATAACAGCAGACTGGCTAGAAATGCTAAGAACTAAAAACCTTAAGTTCTTTAGGTTCTGATTCATAAGACTATTGTTTTTGGAGAGATGATCATTCAGAGTGTGACTGGCAATCCCTCCATCCTGCCCAGATAGTGTCCAGTGCTTGTCCAGACGCCGGAAGTCTCTAGAGTCTGCCAGAGAATAGAAACTGCACTCAGACACACATCACCTCCAACCTCAGCAAGTCAGGACACCCTAAGCTCTACACTCAGCCCCCTGTGTGCTTCCGGGACTTGGGTGCTCCTGCCTTCCAGTGGTCTGCTGCGTTGGCCCCATTGATGGGATCAAACCGATGTTCTTGTTCAGATGAGTGCAGACAGCTTCTTTCTGTGCTTTTTATGCTGAATGTGCTTAGCTACCTTGGCAGTGCTCTTAATTCTTAAATCATAATTCAGAAAATCTTAAATTCAGAAAAGCCATTTCTGATGGGTGTTAGTGTTTAGTTACTTACAGGAAAGTACAACAGAAGATCATTTTTAGTTCTCTTTAGTAGACTTTCAAACATGAGAGAGAGGTACCATTCATTCACTCACTTCAATTGTGTTAAAATGCCACTGGGATTAAAATTACAGTAGACCCCTTTATCTGCAGTTACCTGTGGTCAACGAAACCCCAAAATACTAAAAGGAAAGTTTCAGGAGTTTGAAAAAACTTAATAACATTTGTCATTATTATATATTATCATAACTGTTCTGTTCTTGGTTACTATTGCTACCATCTTAATGCACCTACTGAACAAATGCACTTTTGTTGTAATTATTCAGGCAGTCTAGCACAGCTTTAGGTATCTAATAAGGGGTCTCAGAACATATGCCCTGCAGATAAGGGGGACTACTAGAGTTAGGGAAAAGTATTAGTAGCATTCCCAAAACACCTGCAACTCTTAGTAATGTGGTTTTATGGTGAAATCGCTAAGCTAGGCAGGTCTACCTGGGGGAGGGACAGGCAGAGCAGGAAAGGGATCCAACTAACCTCCTTCCACTTCATTTCCTCCTGAAAGCTGACAACTATCTTAACATGCCTGCCTCCTTCCTTCCGAGCCGAGCATTCACCAGTGTCATCCAGCAACATGTCTGCGAATGGAAAACATCAACAGCCTTAGGCACATGGGGATAGCAAAGCTGGCTTCCTGACACCCCCGCTGCTTTGTTGGCAGAGCAGCGGGATAAACCAGGTGTCGGGGTGTAAGGGAAGTAGGGTGGGGTGGGGGAAGGGTAGAATGGAGAATGCAACCACAGAAACCAATGGTGGACCAACCAAGGAACCAGCAGGCTGACGATGCACTTTGCTGGATGGAAGTGCGAGGGAGAGACTCAACCAAAACGATAGCAATAGCAGCATCATGAATAAAAAATAAAAGCGTCAGCCTCAATATGCTTACAAAGAAAATCTAGATCATGTTCACTGATGATTGTGCCAGCCTGAAATCCAGGAAGGCAGGAAGATCATAGACCAAGCCATTGCCCCAACTGGGACCTGCTACTATGGGGTTTGTATGCAGCATTCAGCTTGCGAGTTGGCTTCTTAAAATGGATCAAACAGAACTCAGCATGGTGAGCGAAGGGATCTGAGCTCATGGCTTGTAGACTTTGGGGCACTGGAGCAAAGCATGAGAGCAGTCTAACGGCTGGGCTCATGCTGGCAGCAGACACACACCCAGACACACACACCCCCAATTGCACACATGCCTTTGCCTCTCCGTTGGATCTGCTGATCTGCTTTAACTTGGGGCTCTTGCTTGGAAACCAGAGAACCAGCTGCAAGTGCGGTCCTGACCCCGATCCCCGGGAGCCACTCACCCAGGCTGGTTGACTCAGTGAGGTTGAGGCTGTGCTGGGAGAGGCCCATGGACTGCCTGGGGGAGGCAGAGATGGACACCTGGGAGGGGGCCCGACTGCAGCCACTGCCTTGAGACTCTGATTTTAACCGGTCATTCTCAGCTTTCAGCTTCTCTATTTCACTCTGCAAAGAGGAAGGGAGAAGATCACTTATTGGGTGGATAGAAATGGAATGAACTTTTTCTGGAGATGGGACCTGATAATTTCCAGCCAAGATATGAGGAAACCTCATTAGTGAGATTCAGTAGCTTTTGCTGCCTCTACTGTGCACACTGACAGACCTGGCTGGGGAGCTTCCATCCTACCAGAAACTAGGAATTTGGAAAGACACCGGAAATACTTCCAAAGATGCTGCTGTGTGAGACCCCATTGAACAAGTGCTTATCTCAAAGCTTTGCAGAACTCTGGGCTGGCAGGATGCTGTACTCTAGGACTTCTCAGAGCCTTTGTGTTTGAATCTGCACGGACCTCATCACGTGCAATGCTTCCCCAGCGCACATAATCAAGCTCCCCCTTCACAGAGCCCTTCCGGGAACACCTGCTTTTGGAGAGAGTGTTCTCCAGCAAAGTCCCCCAGGAGTCTTACTTTCTGTGAGTATTAATGAGGAATTGACTAGACTGGGTGCCATGCCTAGAGAAAGGGACCCAAAAAATTGCATGGAAACCCCAAACATCTTCTCTCCATGGAAGACAGGGCTGGGAAGGGCTGCAAGAAGGGATCTGCAGGAATACTTAGAGGCAGGCAGTGATTCTGCCGGTGGCAGGACTTGTTAAAGCTATACAGAGCAAGAGGCATCAGGCTCCCTCATCCAACCTGACGGGCAGGGGGCTTATCCCAGTGGAGGGCTTATTCCTCTTATGAAAGAGGAAGTGTCCAGGCAGGCAACAGGAGTAGTCATTGGCTCTGTGTGGCTGGTGGACAGAGTCTGAGGAGTACAGAAGGTAGTGTGGATCAACAGTGAAAAGGACCCTTTAGGAGGCCTTTGAGATCTATGTGGGAGGGAATAAAAAGACCAAAGAGGCAGGGAAAGCAGGAGGCAGCCACCACACAACCCCCTCTGGGGGTGGTGGAGAGCAGCCCCTTAGAAGGCCTTCCCAGAAGGCCTCAGGCTCAGCTGGGCTCCTTGGCATCTCACCTGCATCCTGTTCATGGCCTCCCGGAGCTGGTCGAGCTGGTGGGCAGAGCTGAGGGCTTCAAGGCGGATGTCTGTTAGCTTCATCTCCTTGTCTCTCAGCTCGTTCCGGAGCTGCATGACTGTCTCAGCTTCACTGTCCATGCACTCGGAAATTCTAGGGCAAGAGGAATGTCCATGACAAAAGCTCCTCTGAATTCATCTCCTTTCAGACCCCCTCTGATTCCTGATCTATATTTGTCATCAGTTCTGGTCAGCAGTCATTAATTAAAACCAGCGCCCTGGTTCCTCCTGGAGGGACAGCACCAAGAGCACTTGAAATTTAGACTTTATGACTTCCCTGGGCTCTTTCTTGGCAATCAGAGTGGCTCTTTGTTCAGATCAGTCAGCTGAACATGGCCTGCCTGCCATCAAGTATATACAGTTGGCTCCTCGAGCAACACAACCATGCCCTTGAGAGGCAAGGTCAATGGCCTGGTTGACAGAAACTTCAAGGTGAAACAGCTGACTAAAAAGAAGAACCATGAAGAGAAGAGTTTGCATACGTCTGACAGCACCCTGAACACTTCCTCCTGTCATTGTGCCTAGGAGATCAGCCTTCATCAGTCTCCACAACTTGTGACACTCATGGCAAGAAGAAAAAAAGCTACAAGGAGTCAGACACAGCAGAGCACCATAGCACAGGGAGGTCAGTTTGATGTGGAAGCTGCAATGGCTCAGAAACCATTGCCTTCCTTCCCCATCTGCACAGCAGATCATGGTGGCTGAGGGACTCCATGGAGTCTCTCTCACCAAAGAAAGGGACACTAGGCTGGCAGGGCTCTGTACTTGATTGCGTTTGCTCTTCAAACACCTAGCAGGTCAGTACATGTAGAAAATCATAATCATCATGACAAACTGCAATGTTAAGAAAAAAGAATTCAAGTTCATAAACTCACAAAGCTGAAACTGATTATGTTTGTAAGAGATGATGAGCACAGAGGCTCAGCAGGAAAGTCATGTGGACCCGCTCGTCTAGACCCCAGAGCTGATTTGGGGCCAAAAACTTTGACCCGTGAACCTAGCTGAGGGTGTGGAAATTTTAATTTCCAAAGGAAAGCTATTTATAAAATTATTCACTGAGACGTAATTTTATTTCAGGAGCAGTAAGCAGAAGGAAAAGTTAACTGTTGAGCAGTGAAGCTTTTCTTGACCAGAGTCTGCACTGGATTCCACAGACAGGGTGTTCAGAGTTGTCAGCAAGCAAGGAAGCTTCTCCGGTTCAAAATCTTCCTTTCAAAACCAGAGGAATTCTTGGACACATTCTAGTTATTTCCATGTCATACCCACAAGGAAATCAAGTCAACACACTTGGGACTAAAAGACCCAATGAGACAAAAACACCTTTAGAATACAGAACCTGCTGTCCCTAGCTCTTTGTGCTCTGAATAGCCTGTGGCTTGGGAGACTTAACTATAAGGCAGCTTTCCCCTACCTCTCAGTTTGGGAGGTTTAAACAAGAAGCATGCACAAAAACAGTTCTTTCTCGGGAGGACTCTGGGAGTCCGGGCTTAGAAGGAGTGTACAACCTGAACGAAACTCCGTGTGACACTCCGGTCTTCGCCATGCCAGGCCCTTCCTGCACAGACACTAGAGGCTTCAGCTCACGGCACAGAACACTCTGTGCTGGCTTGTACAGCACCACAACAGTCTGCCCAGCCCTCCAAGGCAAAGCACCGGACTCCTGTCTTGTCTGTGCAGACTGTATGTCTTCTCAGCAATAGATAACATGCCACTCTTGGAATATGGCACACAGATTGCACTGCACAGCTGGGGCCCCAGACCCAGTTTTACAAAGGTGCCACAGTCTGAGTGGTCTGGGTTTTTGTCCCTGCCCTAACCAGTACTGAAGCATAATCCTTGCATTCATTTACTCAATTCACTGGTTACCCTCTGCAGCTAGCTGCTGGAGCCTCCAGCACTGGCAGTGTTTTGTGTGACAATCCAGCAGCATCTGACCATGCTGAGCAGCAGTAAATGCTCATTGAACACACAAACTAGGCTGGGCATGTGAAATAAATTAGCCCACTTTCCTGTTAGAATTCCCTATTCCTAAAATAGAGAGGCTGAGGCACACAGAATAACATGCCCAGGGTGACACTATTTAAAAATGACAGAGGCAGCATCAAACCTAGTAGATCCACTTGATTATGCAGCCCGCGTTCCTGAGCTACACCCAGCAGGCACTCAATACATGCCTGTCCACTTCACAGACCACTCACTGAAGCAACTGTAGGTACCAGTTCTCCTGCTCAGTGTCTAACAAATTATTCCAGTATATGCTAGCCATTTTGTCCAGAGGCAGGGATGGAGGCATACCTAATTTTAAACGCCTTGAGTGTGGGAAATATAGCCTTCCCATAACTACCATTCCTTTCGCCCACGGGGTGGGGAATTCTCTAAGCCCAACTCTTCTGCCCTTGGTTTCTGCTTTGAACTCCTTCTCACATCTAGATTTGCACATTCTTAACAAACCTTTCAAGGTTGGAAATACGCATTTACTCTCAGCCCACCCTTTGGGAAACCAGACCCAAAACAAACATCTCCAATGTCCAAGGACCCTGTGGAATCTAAGGGGAAGGCGGGAGAGCCAAGAATCTGCCCCACCCAACACCCCTGGGGAAAGTGGTCTGGAAGGAGCCTTCCATTGAGGCTTCTATAGAGCAGGCTGTATGCATCACCACTGCTCTCGTTGCACTTGGCCCCTGCACCATTTGGCCCAGTTTCTATGCTTCCCTCCCTTCTCTCTGTACTGAGTTTCCTCCCACCTCACTGGCTGCACCACACTCTCGTTGTGAACTTCAATATCAGAGTGCCCCAGGACTCAGTCCTTGATACTCTATTCTTCAGTGAGACTCCCTAGAAACCTCTTCTAGTTGTCCTGCCTGCAATACCATCTATGAGCCTGTACCTCTAAATCTGTACCTCTAGGAATTCCATGTTGGCCAACACCTACACAAAGCTGTCTTCTGAGCACCACCTCACACTTATAATACGGTGGCCAAATCAGAGATCCTTTACCTTCACTGATCTACGTCTTTCACTCATGCCTAGTACTCAAGCTGCAAATCCAAGGGTATCCAAGGATGATTTTTCTCTCATTCTTTTACTCCATATCTGGTCCATGTGCTGCCCACTTTTCTTTCAAAGCTGCATCCACCCTGGATGCCTCACCACCACCAGTCACTTACTCATTTCACCAAATATTTGAATGCTCATAAAACCTAGAATGACCAACTGCAAGGAGTATACAGTGTAGATCCAGATTGGGGTTAAGACACAAAGTAGCTAATTCTGGGGAATCTACCTGTCAGGTGGTAATAGGTACAATGGTGGAAAATAAAAACCAAGGAAAGTGATTGATAGGAATACTGCTGGTGGTAGCGTACTGCTTTATCCCAGGAGGCCAGGCCAGGCCTTGTTGATCAGGTCACACTGAGCAGACTGAAGACAGTGAACAGCTAGAGGAAGAGTTAGCAGGCAGAGGGCACAGCAAACACAAGGACAAAGATCTCCGGGCACATAGTGTTACTGGAGAAATCAAAGCAGTGCCACAGGACAGAGGGGCAGAAGTTGGGTAGTCCTGCCAGCTTCATGCAATTTCTGATCCTCATCAGTAGAAAATGAATTCAGATGTCCCCAACCCTCCCATGTATGTGCCCATTGCACATACAATCAGACACAATTCCACTTTGATTCAAAGCCTCACATGTAGCAAGTCCTGCCTGCACTGGGGGCCTCTTTCTCTATCCCTTGTGCACTGCTGCCCCAGCAGGGCAGCCTTTTCTTCTCACTAGACTCCGTATTGTATAAACTAAACAAAATATCACCACGAGGCTGGTCAGTGTCTACTAGAGTCCATTTCATTTGACTTCTTCCCTGTAGGTGATATGACCCCAGTCCAGTAGGGCAGTAAGAGGAAGGTATGCCTCTTGAAGACTTAGTCCATAAAGAAGCCCTCCTCCAAGAACCTCCCCATGGTGTCCCTCTCCCCCTGCTGGCTGAACACACAGCACTGAACTATGACTTGGTGCGGCAGTTGGCGGGAGCCTCGGGCCTACATTTGGTGGTATGGTTTATGGCAGGCAGAGTGCTACCAGGAGTACAGCAGTGAAGTTGCTACTTGAGACACCTGAAGGTCCACAACATGCCTGGTTTAAGTCCTGGCTACCTGGCTTCTGATCCAGCTTCCTGCTAATGCACATCCTGGGAGGCAGCAGACGCAGGTTCAGGTGCATGGGTCCCTGCTACCCGTGTGGACGGGACTTCTAGGCTTCTGATTTCAACCTAGCCGAGCCCTGGATGCTACAGCCAATTGGGAAGAGAAGCAGTAGGTGAAAAATATTTCTGTCTGTCTTCCAAATAAATGAAAACTTTAAATTAAATTTGCTGTCAAGGTATTATGCATCCTAACATCACTGTGAGTCACAGCATTATCCCGTGGCACACTCTCGTTTTTTCTGGGTTATTCAGGATTTATTTGTTTAGCATCCACGCATCCTCTCCCTGGTATACAGCATCCACCACAGCAGGTCCTTATCTGGTACACTGTTGTAGCCTGTGCTGACGACAATGTCTGACACAGAGTGGAGGCTCAGAGGTGGAATGAGGGGTCCTGGGCCACGTCACAAGGAGCTCCTGTCCTCCCAAGGACAGGAATGTGGTCACACCCAGAGGAAGGCTCTGTCACACAAACTGCTATAAGCACAGAGCAGATGAGGAGCTCCTCTGTCAGTCCTCTAGACAGGAAACGACTAAGCCAAATGCTATGGGGTGAGGACTGAGTGAGGTTGTGTGCTGCTTACGCCTCAGGCAGTCTTAGGTTACACAGGAACACACTCCCAACTGCTCAATCTTGTCACTCAAGGAAACACACTGGGAAACACACTTTCAGGCACGAGGTTGGACGCTGTGGGGATAAGACAGGTCCAGATTTCTAGTGCTTCTCTTTCTTCCCTTGCTTAGGTTTTTGCCTTTGTCCATGTTGTCCAGGTTTTAGCCTTTATCCATGTTGCTACAGCCACCCTCTCAGCAAGGTGGTCCTCAAGCGTAGAGGAAATGATCATTTAATTATGTACAACAGAGATGTTGGCAGGCCCACAGTTCACTTGTAAGTGGAGCCATCTAAAAACTCCATGTCTCCTTCCAGTTCCTCACTCCATGCAGCTAGTGTCAGCTCCCCCAATTAGGTCCCCTAAGAATGAAGGAGGCTACACAGGAAAAAGGAGCCGTAAATGCACAGAGACTAACTTGGCCTTCCTGTGAATCTACTGTAATGGATTCAATGAACTCTATTTTAACCTGAGACAACACTCAGGTTTGTACTATCAATCATCTCCTTTTCCTACCTCTAAATTACAAGGGCTATTCCAGCACCAGCCACAGTTCCCCTCTTCTCCCAGGCATAACCTTATCTTATGAATAGCTTTCCTTGCAGTCCACACAGATTCAGCTCCTTCTTGTCTAACCCCAGGTCTGGCAACCCATGGTCTCTAACGGAATTCAGCCTTCCCTGGCATGAGAGTCTTTCTCTGCTGTAAGTGGCTGTACTACCATTTCCTGAGCCCAGGTGCTCAACCACCTATCCTAACCCAGTCCTGATCAGGTGTTGTCTCTAGAGACAGGACCTTGGACTGGCACCCTGTGCTCTCATGGAGGATCAGACAGTCTGTGTGCTCGGTGGGAACCACAGGGGGTTAGCTGATACCTTGTAGCCAAGAACAGAACCTAAACCACTGAACTCCCAACCAGCTATGTCTCTGAGGAAAACCATGCATATGGTCTCATATCTCACTTGCTAAGGAACATTACAATGATGGACCATTTTATAAAATATAAACTCCTTTAGTGAAGACATATGTCACTAAATTGTTCCATTGTTTTAAACTTCTAATTTCTAAGCTCTCATCTGGAGAGAGTTGACACCAAATTTTGATCAAAGACGAAAAGTCTAATCTAAGTCTTATCACATGAACAAGAATTTTGGCAAAAATCACCATCATCTCCCACTCACAGCAAAAACACTTCTGATTCTTTCAGGTCCACAAATTTTGTTCTTTCTTTAGGACAGGATAAACAGACCACATCCACAAAGCAAAGCACGAAGACTGACAAGAAGAGATGCCCCATCACAGGACTCGTAGCCATCCTAACATGAGAGGCCTCCCAGGGGACAAGGGCGTCCCCTGAGCAGGACAGCCTGGATGGACAGACTTACAGAGAGTTGGAGTGAGAATTCCTCAGCAATGCAGTGGAGCCTGTAGACCCATTGTGTGGCAACTTTGGTGAGGAAGGCAAGGAGGAATCCGTCATCTCCTCGATGTCTGAATGGGAGGATGCTGATTTGGGAGACTTCTTCTTTCCGAAAGCTTGCTTGAAGGAACTGCGTAACTGAATATACAAGATCATCAGCCTGGTGGGGTTGCCATCAGCACTTAATCTTGGTTCAACAGTGACATGCACAAAAAGAGCAATTAAGTCTCTCATGTCTGCCCCACCAACGGAAAAGGTTCCCAACAGCTCTCTTGAATCAGTGCATTAAGGGAAGAGTTATCTGGTGCTGACAGCTTGAGGAGGTTGGACCTGCGGGTGACAATCCATGCCTATTCTTGGTTTAAGACTAGATGCCAACAGCAAGACAGAGCCTGGCTCAGCACATGGGTGTGGGGGAGATGAGGTTACTCAGCAACAAAGCAGGATGCTCAGACACGGTGACAGATGCGGATGGGGTTAGTCATATCAATGGATGGGTTAGCTTGGTATCTGATATTAAACTTGGTCTTGCTTACCTCATTGACCTGCCAGAGAAAACGCAAGCAAAAACAGGGAAGGGGAGGAAAAAAGACAATTTTTAACAGAGAAAGCCAGTGACAAGGAAAGCTTTGGACTTTTCAGACACAACATGGCTAATCATAAACACCACACATGGAGGAGGTTTCCAGTAGGAATGCGAGTTCAACAGTACTGGGGCTATCTTCCTCTATTACAGCAGGAAGAGAAGCAGAGGGAGCGAAGACCCTTACGATCTGAGCCCTGCTGTCAGGTGGGATAGCTGCTCTCATCCTCTTCTGTGCTTCTGGTTAACTATCTTTCTATGCTTTCCACTTTTTCAGGGGTACGTGGAGCCAGGTCTTAGCTCTGTTAAGGTGCCACCTAGCTAGAGCACTCTCTAACACATGTACTGCAGTACTTCCATATGAGAAGGCAGTCTGATGGGCAAGGTATTAGCCATTGGTGATTCAACATGTAGAGTTCCTTTTTAGGATTTTATTAACTAGGTTGGGCAAAGAACTGGCGTCTACCACAATTTCCCCCAAACTATAAATGAACCTGAAAATTTTAATGACAGCATAAAGAATTAAATGCAATGCCTTCTACTAAAGCTATGACCAATCTGTATTTTCTAAGCCAAACCAATAATTCTTTTGAAATATGTTTTTTAAAGATTTTATTTTTATTGGAAATCTGGATATACAGAGAGGAGGAGAGACAGAGAGGAAGATATTCCATCCACTGATTCACTCCCCAAGTGACCACAATGGTTGGAGCTGAGCCAATCCGAAGCCAGGAACCAGGAGCTCTTCTGGGTCTCCCATGCAGGTGCAGGGTCCCAAGGCCTTGGGCCGTCCTCAACTGCTTTCCCAGGCCACAGCAGGGAGCTGGATGGGAAGCAGGGCCACTGGGATTAGAACCGGTGCCCATATGGGATCCTGGTGCATGCAAGGCGAGGACTTTAACCACTGCATTATCATGCCAGGCCCGAAAAATGTTTCTTTAAAATGCAACAGTGGGTGATGGGCCCAGCAGCGTGGCCTAGCGGCTAAGGTCCTTGCCTTGATTTTCCAATAAATAAATAAATTAATTAAGAAAAAAAGCAGCAGTGGGTGATGTTGCCATCTGTGAGGCTTGCATCTCACACTGGAGTCCTGGTTCGAGTTCTGGCTGCTTTGCTTTTGATATGGGTTCTTGCTAATGTACCCGGAAAGGCAGTGGAGTATGGTCAAGTACTTGGGCCACTGCTACGCATGCAGGAGGTCCAGATGGAGTTCCAGGCGCTTGGCATTGGCCTTGCCCAGCTCCGCCTATTTGTGGAGCGAACCAGTGTATGAAAGATATCTCTGGGGCCCGGCACGGTGGCGCAAGTGGTTAAAGGTCCTCGCCTTGCACACCCGGGATCCCATATGGGAGCCGGTTCTAATCCCGGCAGCTCCGCTTCCCTTCCAGCTCCCTGCCTGTGGCCCGGGAAAGCAGTCGAGGACGGCCCAAAGCTTTGGGAACCTGCACCCGCGTGGGAGACCCAGAAGAGGCTCCTGGCTTCGGATTGGCATAGTATCGGCCCGTTGCGCTCACTTGGGGAGTGAATCATTGGACGGAGGATCTTCCTCTCTGTCTCTCCTCTCTGTATATCCGCCTTTCCAATAAATATAATAAAAATAAAATCTTTAAAAAAAAAAAAAAAGATATCTGTCTCACCAGACCTTTCAAATAAATAAATAAACCTCTGAAAAAATTAAGTCTCCTTTCTCAAGCCTTTTATTTTCTGAAAATACATTCTAGGATGTTCTTAGCTACTAAGAAATTCACAAAATGGGCCATTCTGTAAATGAGCTCAGAGTCTCCTCCCATCCACGTGTTTCATCCATAACAGCTGTCTAGCTCACAGCATGTCTAGATCCCACTTCTCTCCGAAGTTTACCGCTATTTCCAGAGTTGTCACGGAAACAGAAGTGTTGACATACACGCCAACAACCTCAGCCTTGTCTGTACCTCTGCTAAAATGTCATGTAGAAGAGGCAATTACAAAGATTAGAATTAAGTTTTGGGATTAGTTGAGGATGCCAATTACCCATCTTTTCTGATCCACTGGTAACTGACAGTGAAACACTGTAAACCAGTTTTACTTCCTAAAGAAAACGTAATCACTAGTTTGTACAAAATATCTCTCAGCATGTTCACAGTCAAGTCAGATCATTCTTATGAGTAACATATTAGAGATGGCAATATGCTTTAAAAACTGCCTAGTTAGAGCAAATGAATTGACTCAAAGTCATTAGAAGTTTAAAGGAAAAAAATCCAAATGAGAGGATCACATTCAACTGGCCTTTCTGCTTGCCTCAATGCAAGTCACCAAAAATCAAAATACTAAATTCCCAACTCTTCTATGACTAGACCTTGCCACCCATCCAAGATGACAGAAAATGAGCAACATGTATGAAATGAATGAGGACACTGATGCTACTCTGTGAACATGATAACAGCACTGACAGATGGGGCTCTTTGAGTATTGGTCAACTACAGATGAACATGAGCTGCCTGTCCCTGTACTGAAGACAGGTAGTAGCAAGGTCATATAGGGCTTACAGTCTCAATGGAAGAACTAAAAAAGAGGACAGAGAGAGGGAGGTGAGGTTTCCCTGAGAGTGGGAAGAGCCTTTTATGAAACTACTAGTGGAAATTCCAGCAGCACTTTGGAGACATGGGGATATGGAGGAAAGGCCTAACAGACACTGATTCTGCTAAACTCACCATTTTGAGGTACAATTCTCAGTTAAGAACCACTAATATCTATGGTAGAATTTTCTAACAGTTTTCAAAGAGAAAGTTGCTTTGGTGCTGTCAAGCAGCTACATAAATAAACAGATGAAGATGAGGATGAACAATGAGGTAACTAAATGATGTGTGCTAAAAAAAAATACTTTGGAATGAAGAAGTCACTAAATTGGTAACGTTATTCTAGTACCTGGAACTTTGTGGCCAACATATAATGAGAAAGAAACAGTGCATGTATGAAATGGAAGATGAGTTCTTTATATGAAATCATGAAACAGAAAAACCATAAGGTGGTGGTTGGTACAAATTTTGTTGTATTGCTGAGCACATTAATTTCAGTAAAAACCTATCTGCAAATCATTCCTGGGGTCTCCTTCCAGGGACCTGCACTCTGAAGTTAAGAGCTAGCATACTCGTTCTGTGACTGCACTGTGGTCCCCTGGACAGTATTTAGGTGTCCACTCACCCAGTTCTTTCTTTTCTTCTTCTTTGAGTCACTCTCTATGTTGCTGCCCACGCTGGAGTGGCTGGTGGCGCTGTTGATGCTGGAGACGCTGTCAGAGGAATGCTGCCTGCGGATGCGAAGATCTGTAGATTGAGAGGTGCCGTTTCCTGGAGACCAAGATGGCGAAGTCAGCAGCTGCTCACTTGGACCCACGCAACTGCCTTTACACCTGAGAACTACCAGGTATTTTTCACTTAGACATTGCATGGTCCCCTCTGCTGACTGGAAGCTCCTTGAGGACGGGTTTCCCACTTTCCTCGGTCAATGAAATAAGGTCTGATTGATCACTTGACAAATAAGAAGCCAAGAGAAGCATAGGGATGACTTCTTCAATGCCAGCTCTGTGAAGCTTTACATATGCCAAGTTTCTGAAAGGAGGCAGCAGCCACTGCTCTCACCTGTCTCCTTCTCTCTGTGACATGCGTCCTGTGTCAGTCCCTTGGAAGTACCATGCCTGTCTTCTCTCAGGGCTGTGTCCTCTGCCTGGGATTCTTGTCTACGTTCACTCTGGCTAGTTCTTGCTAATCAATCTCATTCAGGTTCTACAATCACTGTTATTCAGGAGGTCTAACGTTTAAACAATGAGGATATAGCAGCGCTCTCTAATAGAAGTCTGTCAACAGGCTTCCTCCTTGCAGTTGAAACTGGACCCAAAGCCAAGGCTGAAAGCGCACTGGTATTAGAGCCAGATGGATCCAGATTCTAGTCCCCTTCTTACTCTTCCTTATCCTCAGCATAAGAAGTAAATAAAGCTGTGTCTGAACCTGCTCAGTGTGATGAGGAAGAAACCAGCAGCACATTCACAGGTGGTTGTGGAAAGAAAATAAAATAAGCAAAACTCTCTACAAAGTGTGAGAACCCAGTAAGTGTCCATACACACTAGTTATCAGTGCCATTACTGTTGTTATTGTTAACACAGAAGGTAGCTCACCTTCATGCCCACTTGATAATTTAAATCCCAACTTGGTTGTTCAAGAATGTAGCAAATGACCCAGAGGTATTTTTCCTGTACAATAACGGCTGATCTTTTTCAACTGATTCTATATTGGCAGTAGGCACTAAAGCGTTAGTGAAGAGTTTTAACACACTCTGCTAACAGAAACCTAGTCCTTGCATTTGGGTGATGACATCCAGAGAAGAGCATGAGCTATAAGGGCCATCTTTGTCATGGCCAGCAGCAACCTGATGACAGTTGCCTTCTGGGATCCGTCCTGCTGACCAGGAAGTGGATTACACAGGGGTGCTGCAGAAGGGTTGCATCAGACAAATCAGTGGAGGGCCCCTAAGGACAGGCAGGCTGTTTTGTCTAAGCACTGTTTTCTCTTACTTTACCTTTGCAGTTGAGCTCCGGTGTGTTAATTACTCCATTAATGGCAGCCTGGGCAGCTGCGTTCTGTTTCTTGAGCAGCTCAATGGTTTTCCTTAACTCATTCAGTTCTGAATCCTGGGGCACAGAAAGAAGTATGATCACCATGAAATCATTCTGCACAAAGTTTAACTGAACAACAACTTAAGACTCAATAGAGGGGAGTAGTGAATGAGGAGCTCAGCAGAACCTGTCTTGGGCATAAATGACCATACAAGAGGAGTAAGAATCTAAGTAGGAAATCCTTGACCCACATCTTATTTGCCCCTTAACAGATCTACTGTGGGTAATTAGGATCTCATAGGTTTAAGGAGTAAGCTCTGTATAATGGATCTAGAGACAATAATATTTTCATGCATGTTGTTCTATCCAAGCAGGGGGAAAAAAAATCATCCTTCCTGACTTACCTTCTGCTCGGCTGTCATGGTCAAACTTTGCAGCCTGATTGTCATGTTCCCGAGACTCTGTTCAAAGGCTGCCACCAGGTGAGCCTGGAAGCAGAAGACACAGAGCCTCAGTCATGCCACTGTGCAAGGCAGGAGTGACGGAAGGTGCCATGTCCTAAAGGCGGGAATCTGACCCCTGCCTAACTCTTCAGCTGCCTCTTCCCACCATTCTTTGGAATCCAGTCACTCTTAGCCCTTTACCCACTCAAACACGCTGTGCTCCTTCCCACCGCAGGGCAACTGTGCATCCCTTCCCTGCTGCCTGGATTGCTTTTTCCTCCACATCCCTCCTTGCCTGACTCATTTTTACACGTCTGTTTCCAGGAGCTCTCCACTCATGTCTCCATCACAGTTCCAGACTGGGCTGGTTCACAAGCACACACTCCTTGTGACACATGCTCTGTGCCATACCAGTTGAAAATGATTGTTGGCTTATGTCTGCTTTCTCTGGTACACCACAGGGTGCTCTTTTGTTCAACGAGCACCAAGCTCACAGCAGAGGCTCCTATTAGTTATGTTTGTAGAATGCAGGAACAAAATAGCTGGCTTTGCTTGTTATAATCCTGCTTAATAAAAAAGCCACTGAAAGGCCCATCTGCTACCTCCTTGGAGAAACATTTTCCAGGTCCCCCAAGGACTTAAGAATTTCCCCCAAGGCTTTCATGTACTTTTATACATATCTTTTGAGTGCAACATTAGATGTGCCATTATTTTATCTATTACTAGCACATTTTTAAAAAATGCAGTAATTATAATTACAGTATGAATTCCATTTTCAGAGATGTTAAAATGTGAGGAAAAAAAAACATATATATCTTAGAACTAAGAAATGTGACATTTTCCTACCTGCTACCTTCTCTATATCTTCAGGGAAAGAGACAGCTCTGTGTCCCCACCCCAAGCCTTATCCCTAACCCAGAGGAACAGGTGAAATGTTGGTTGACAGAATGAGGATCCTTGCAATGCCATTAAAACCAAGAGCAAATAATAGCTTTCTTAAAAAAAAAAACAATTATGCTGAAGAGTTCCTAGCCAGACAATGAGTTGATGAGCCAGCCAGGACCACCTTCCACTTTCTAAATTCTACCTGCATCATTGGAACAAATGCCTGTCCTCCTGTTAGAGTAATTTGGGCATCAGATGAGACGGGTTTTTCCTGTTCACTTGCTCACCCCTGCCTCCTCATTGCTGGTACAAAGCAGCCACTTGACAGATGTATGCTGGACTAAAAAGAAGAGCAGCTGGATGAGAGGCAGTGTGGCACACGGAGCACAGCCAGAGGTTAGAGGTCTGTGGTGCTCATCCTAGTGCTTTCTGATTACTCATGATGCTGGGCAAATCATCTAATTTTATTGGTCTCACTTTCTTCACCTATGAAATGGGAATAACGACTATCTTCCTCCCAGGGTTATTCTGAACACTAACTGAAGTAAGACAAGTGAAAATGGCCTACAACTTTGTGAGCAATTAGAGAACACATGAAGTTTGAGAATGAGAAAGTGACAAAATATGAGGGTAGCATATAAATGTTTTTCAAAAAGTTTATGGTAAGTAAAAGTAAATTTATTTTGGTGCAAACATTTTTTAAATCCATGCAAATGAGTTTTCAAGATCATTCATGGGAAAATATGTATTATGAAAAAATTACACATATATTTCAAAAATTTTACATTAAATAAATTTTAGTTAGTTTTTTAGAAACATTTATTTTGGTATTTAAAAGGGAGAGTTACAGGGAGAGACAGAAAAAGAGAATTTCCATCCAATGTCACTCCCTGCATGCTGGAAACAACTAGGGTGGGGCCAGGCACTCCATCTGGATCACCAATGTGAATGGCAGGAACCCAAACATTTACTTATCATTCACTGCCTCAAGTTAGAAGAAGGCTGGATTGGAAACAGAGCAGCCCAGACTTAAACCAACATTTTGGGATTGTGTGTACCTCAAGCAGTAGCTAAACCTGCTGTGTCACAATGCTTGCCTCTAAACTTTTTTCTAAAATTCCATTTCTCCATGCATTTCCTGAAGCATCCTTATGTGACTAGTGGATGCTGGAGTCAACACAGGGCCACAGGAGATGGGACAAGGACCACCAGGGCATATTCAGGAAGAGCCCTGGGAAAAGTAAGATTTGATCATGCTGTGACATTCTGGAGGGCAAGATGATGCAGGGCACAGCGCCACACAAAAATGGAATCACAGAAGGGACAGGCAGGACTCTTGGAGAGGCCTTTGCCCTCCCTGGGCTGTGAGGCATTCCAGACTAAGAAGAGATGGGAAGAGTGAGTTCATGATCTCAGCTAATCAACTTAATCCAGCAGCCACAACAGGGCTAAGACACCTCTTGGCCCACTGTTGGTAGGGAGCACTTGTAACACAAAGCTAAGTGAAGCAGCAAGCTTCTTTCTTACTCTGTATAACAAAAAGGGATAAAATAATTCTGCCTCTTTTAAAATAGATATGCTTTAGTTTGCTCCAGCAAATGTGATAAAACCAGTCAATTCAAGACAGTCACAGAGGAGACCAACAATGGGCAAAGACACGGATGTCCTCACACTGCACAGGAATAACAAGGTTATACTCACACGAGTCCGTCTCCATTTATTTTCATTACGCATCTGATTACCACTCCCAGCTCCAGTTGCAGGCCTTCACATTTTCTATGCAATTAAAATCCCAAGCCCAAACCTGACTCCATCAAGCCTGCTATTGAGAAAGTGTTTCTGCAGGCTCATCAAGAAATGCATTCGCTTCGAAGAACCAGAGGATCTCATTTTGCTGGCAAGCAAGAGGGCTGCCTTTGTGTCCTGAACACAACTATGAAAACATGGGTTGTGCAGGGGCTGTGCTGGGCTGGGTTCATAGCCACAGAAGAGCCCTCTCTCCAAGCACCATTCTCACATTCCCAGAGAAAACAAACACGAGTGGTAGGAAAATACCCAGAGAAGGCAGCTTGGAGTAGTTTGTGCTAAAAAAACAAACACAGCCTGGTCTGTGAGAAAGATGGCAGACAATAAAACACGCTAGTATCACTGGTTGTGTATGGTAAGACTAAATATTGACTTAAAAACAATGGTGGTTTCAATGGCTTTTGCAGGAAGCAGAACACACCTTTGGAATAATGTGAGGGATCTCGTTCACTCTGCCTGTTCTGGGACACAGGCAGAGTTCCAAACGGCCAGTGCAAGGTCACCTCTGCCATGAACCCATGTTCACTGAGGACTAAATTAACAACTATGAACCGGTTAGAGAAGAGTAACAAGTGTCAGCTGGAATTCTGAACCAGGAAAGAACTCAGAATCACTTGGGTAGATGCTGCTGTCCAATCTCACCTGCTTGAATTATCCCAGGAGACAGTGGTTTACTGGGAACAGATTTGATTTTTGGATTCAGATGCACACATCTGGTTATCCAGATGATAGATCTGTTCATACAATGCCTTTGCTGATTATTCTAATTGGTATCTAAGTTCCAGAATTCAGTTCTCACTTCTATTCTGATGCTGTTTTATAGACAGTTGGAGAAGAAAATAATGGACTATACAACATATAGCTGGTCAGTAGTACGTTAGAGCATTATGGGAGAAAATTAGATATCTAGAAATGGAAGAGGAATTAAGAAATTGAGTAATAATGAGAGCAGCTACCAACTATTGAAGTCAGACTCTGTGTTCATGACTTCATGTGCAGACTTCAGGCGAAGATGGTCTCCTGCAGCAGACTTGGGCTAGGACTTGCCAGAGCAGAAACAAGGCCAGTGATTGTTCTGCTGTGTTGACTCAGTGTCCCAGTCAAAGGAAGGCAACCTTTTGAAGTTGCTTCAATGTTTACAGCCTGCTCTTGGCCGACTTGAATTCACCGATCTCTGCACCCCGGCTGGGTGTGAAGTCCTGAGCAGGGGACCTTGCTCAGGAGGCAGCCTGGCACCTTCCAAAACCCTTCGAAGATGTCTTGGGCTGTGCCTGCAGCTCTACTGCAGCACAGTAGATTCTCTGCCTCTACTTGATCTACCCTAATCAGACACCCACACCAGCCAGGATGCTTGCTAAAGAACAGAACCAGATCACTGCACTGCATGCTTAACACCCCAAGACAGCTCTTTCAACTTCAGAAGTGTGCTCAAACTCTACGTAATGGTACATATGCTTGAGCCTTCTACCTCGCCACCTGCTGCTTCTCTCCATCTCTCTCCTTCATCCAAGCCATGGATTCTAAACATGCCAAGCTACCTAGAGTTCCAAGCGCACCAACTTTTACTCTAGCCTCAGCATGGCTTTTTCTCTTTTGTCAGGACGCTTTTTGTATGTAATTGCTTCTATGTAGCACCTATTAACTGCTGCCTCCTCCAGGAAGTCCTTTGTGGGATCTCCTTCCCATCCCCCACCAAGACAGAATTTGCCGTTTTTCTTCTGCTCTCCCACAGCTCCCTCCCTTTATCTTGAGTAGTTATCGTGTCATGGCAACATTGTTTGTTTTGTGTCTCCGAAGGAGCAGAGACTGAACACAAGGATGACAGTGACTGCTTGCTTTGCTATTGAACCCACAATGCCTGAGGCATAGCTGGCACTCAAACAGTTGTTGAATTGAATGCTGCTGGTTGGCACTGTCTTCTGAACATGTCATTGTATACATTATAATTAAGGAGTAGCTGGATATTTACCGCAGAGCCCTAAGTTTATTTTTTGCTCCCTTTCTTTTCTTTCTTCTTTGTTTTCCCATAAGGGCAAAATTTACAGGAAGAAAAGGGAAATTAACATCTTTTTTTTTTCCTTTTCTAATTTAAGAGGGAGAAATTAAAAGAAAAAAAAAGAGCAAGAGAGTGAGAGTGAGTGATCCCATCTGCTGGTTCACTTCCAAAATGCCCACAAGGGCCCCCGATGGGACCAAAGCTGGGAATTCAATCCTGGTGTCCAATGTGGGCAGCAGGGACGCAAGCCCACTTGATACATCACATGTCACTTTCCAGGGTCTGAATAAGCAGGAAGTTGGTGTTCCGGAGACAGATCCAGGAATGGAACCCAGACACTCCTCTGTGACACATGGGATCTCAACCACAGTCTTATTCTCCAAGTCCACTGTCCCCCTTGAAATTAACATCTTAATAAAGCACTTAAGTACATGCTTCCTGCTACTGCTGTCTCGGAGGCAGCAGGTGGTTGCTCAAGTACTTGGATACCTGCAACTCACTGGGAGACTAGGATATACCTGAAGCCCTGGATATCATAGTTTTGAGTATTCGGGGGAGTGGATTAGCAAAGGAAAGATTTTTTTTTTCTCAGTCTCTCACTCTTTCATGTAAATGAAAATAAATACACATTGTAGCTACCTATTGTAAGCAGTGATCACAGACAACAGTAAGACATAAGGGTTATCATCTTCATGACACTGAACTTATCAGTCTGGTAGGTTCTAGCCAAGTCAGAGCGGCAGTGACATCCACAGCCAGCAGGCTACAGCCTGGATCCTTGGTATTCCACTGTGCTGTTCCTACAGCACTCAGGAACAGATGCCTGCTTGTGGCCCCTCCATCTACGAACTGCATCTGTGCTTACATTTGCCGTCAGCTGTGTGGTCAATGCTGAAACCTTCTCTTGAGAGGCATCCAGCTCCCGCCGTAGTTTGCGAATCTGAAGATGACAAGAGACAGACTTACTTCAGGAGTCTTCCCGATTTGAGTGTGGCAAAACGACTGAGAACGGCCAAAACAGAAAGTACCACCAGCAAACTGCCACTTACCTCGGACTGACACTTTTCTTCAGGCTGTAAAGATAATAAGAGAGGAAATCAGATCAGTGGGGGAACAATGCACAGCAAAGGCTGGCCTGCACAGAATGCCTTACGTGGACTCACAGAGCAGTCTGGAAGGTAAGCCTTTTTCCCCCCAGTGTAGTTATATGAATAAGCTGATTTAACGAAGTCCACTCATCAGTCAAACTCAAATGGCTTGTCATTCTGGGAGAGAACAACATTCCAGGTGTTCTGGCTGTGAAGTGCCCCACCCCCAAGTAGAGATGGAAGGAGGGAAGTTGCTGGGAAGGGCATGAGTCAGACCCAGCACAGGGAACCACAAAACTTCAGGCAACATCCAAATCTCACAGGAAATGGAGCCATACTGGCAACATATTTACGTTAAAAAAATCATTTATTGCTAGTCTGAATTTCAAATGGAAATGATCACTGAATGTTATTTGGCTGTGCTGCCCTTGGATCGCTGCTAGGTTTATTTACTCCTCCTCCTCCCACCCCAGGACACTACAGCAGGAGCAGAAACAGGGCAGAAAAACCTCAGTGGGAACGGGCTGGGAGCTCCAACTCAGCCAGCCCAGTAACTTCAGAGGGTGGGAGGATAAATGCTTCCCGCATCTTCCTGCTGCTATGTCTTGAGTCCTCACAAACACCGGGGACCCTGGTGACGGAAGGCAAACCCTCAAGCCCCTGTGACAGTCAGGACCTTCCCTGCTGGCTCTGAGGATGTGGGTACACAGGTACTAGCAAGTCAGAAACTCAAACGATTTAACTTCTCACACAGCAGGAACCCATACAGGCAGGAGGAAGCTGCTACAGGAGGAACCCATCTTTCCCTTTCCTGATTCCCAATGAAACCCACAGAGAACATATCTGTGGGGTTACCACTGTGGTGTAGTGTGTTAAGCTGCTGTCTGTGATGCCAGTATTGCACACTGGGGTGCAGTCGGTATCCTAGCTGCTCTGCCTCTGATCCAGCTCCCTGTTAATGTACCTGGGAAGGCAGTGAAAAATGACCCAAGTATTTAGGCCCCTGTGTTCATACAAGAGATCCAGATACAGCTACTGGTTCCTAGCTTCAGCCTGGTCCAGCTATCACATTTCTGCCATTTGGAGAACAAAGCAGTACATTAAATCTTTCTCTCCATCTCTCTCTCTCGCTCTCTCTCTGCAAACATTAGGTGTGCCCATGCCTTTCTCTCCATCCACCACTCTAATTTCCCTGGGGTACAAGTGACTTGGGGACTAGCTGAGTGAGTGATCATCACTGGAAATCTCTTTTTGTTTTAAGTCCTGGCTAAGTACCATAATTGTTTTTTTAAGATTTATTTATTTTTATTACAAAGTCAGATATACAGAGAAGAGGAGAGACAGAGAGGAAGATCTTCCATCCTCTGATTTACTCCCTAAGTGGCCGCAATGGCTGGTGCTGTGCCGATCCGAAGCTGGAAACCAGGAACCTCTTCCAGGTCTCCCATGCGGGTACAGGGTCCCAAAGCTTTGGGCCGTCCTCGACTGCCTTCCCAGGCCACAAGCAGGGAGCTGGATGAGAAATGGAGCCACCGGAACTAGAACTGGCGCCCATATGGGATCCCAGCACGTTCAAGGCGAGGACTTTAGTAGCTAGGCCATGCTGCCAGGCCCAAGTATCATAATTTTGCTTGCAATAAATCATTATTGTTTTGAAATATTTATTTATTTCCATTGGAAGGGCAGATTTACAGAGTGAAGGAGAGATGGAGAGAAAAATCCCCCATCTGCTGGTTCACTACCCATGGGGCCTTAATGGCTGGAGTCGAGCTGATCGGAAACCAAGAGCCAAAAGCTTCTTTTAGGTCTCCTATGCAGATGCATGGTTCCAAGGCCCTGGGCCGTCCTCAACTGACCTCCCAGTCTACAGGCAGGGAACTGGATGGCAAGTGGAACAGCCAGGACATGAACCGATGCCCATATGGGAGCCCAGTGTGTGCAAGGTGAGGACTCCAGTTACCAGGCTACTGTGCGAGGATCAATATATCACTATTTAAAAATGTCAGCATCTGGGGATATGGTTCGTTAGCTGCTCCAGACCCCACATCCATCAGTGATGGGGGTGGCTGCTTCCTGTCTGACTTTCCACAGCTTTCCCTCCTGATCTGACCCAAGTGCCCCCTCCCTCCTGGCTGATTCCTAAAAACAGCAATAAATAAATAAATAAATAAATAAAACTATTAAGTACATGGGCCAAATTCATTTAATTCTTGCAGTAACACCATAAAGCAAGAGAGGGTAACTGTCTTGCCTATAGTGACACAGCTACACAATTTCTCTAAAAAATTCTTTCAGGAGATGAATATGTCTTCCTCATGGCTAATCGTGCTCTCCCAGCTAAAATTATCTATCCCTATTGGTCTATTTATTCATCCATCCTTCCCTACTATCACTACTTCTCAAACATTTATTGGTTTCCTACAATGTATCAGGCACTGCTTTTAGAACCTAGGATATGGCTGGGTATGATGAAGTCCAAGCTCTCCTGTCAGTTACGTTCTGCTAATACATAGCATTTGCTGAACACTCTCATGTGTTAGCAACCCTCCACTTTGCGTTAATTATCCAGTTAATCTTTATAACATCCCTTTGAGTAGTAGCACTAACACAACCAATTTCTGGTTTCTATATGAGGAAACTAACAGAGAGAACTTACATAATTGGTTCATAGTCACAGCTGGCAAGCAGCCAGGCTGAGACTGGGTCCAAGGTAGTCTCATCCCCAAGCTTGTGAGTTCAACTACCACATTGTCCTGTTCTATTATAGCTCCATTCTCATGGAGCCTTTCCAGAACTCAGGCCCTACTTTCTGAAACTGATACAAAGGAGAAAAAGGCAATGGTGAGAATGACACAGCTGTCCAACATCTGGAAGGCTGGTGAAGGTCTGTTGGACTCATTCACGTACCTAAGACTCTCCCTACCTCTGAACACCTTTATTAGTCCTTCCCCAGGCATAGGCCTCTGACCCACACTGGGCCCATCTCCCTGGGGTTGGGTCCCATGCTGCACAGTAGCTCGGAGAAATCCTGTCTCTCATCTTGCCCCAGGCTGCTGTGGCTCTTCTGTATATCTAGAAACCCTAATTGAACTGTGGGCTCCATACACTCAGCAATTCTAGGAACTCAACTGCTACACCCTACTAACCAAGAGAGAAACTCTGACGCCAAGGAAAGAACCTATGGTTATCTAGTAGGAGCCTTTACACTGCACAGTTAAGAAGCAGGCTCTCTGATCTGATTCTGGGGTAACCTAGAAGAATCCACAGATCTCATTCTAAAAAACAAACATGACCTTATTCACCTTACCATTTACAAACGTATCTGAGCAGTTGTTTCAGAATTTTGTCATCACCCAGAAGCTAATTACAGACAAATCTCACGTACCACAGCTGGATGTTAGCAGAGACTAACAGACTTGTAGTTTCTCTAAAATTAACAGAATTTCTCTTACATGGAAACATTCAAATGAGAGACTATTCTTTTTAAAGTCTGCAAATGAACCTTACTATTGTAGAAGGCATGAGTCAGGACAATAAATGGGAACTGTTGACTCCAGGACTCATGTCTGGGGATCTCACAAGTTTACCTGCTCAGCTTCCTGATACCAAAGACATAACCCAGAGACACCCAAGCTAGGTCATGTGTCCAAAGTCACATGATACAAAAAAACTAAATTTATACCTTGGTCTTTTGCTGTCCAGATAAACACAGCATTGAAAATTATTATTTGTCTTTAGTAACGTGTTGAAGATTTGTCAAGCTGGAAAGGACAATTTCAAGTTTCACACAAATACCACCTTCACGAGTCTGCTCTCTCTGAATAGCAGTCACTGGAAGAGTGGCTTTTCCCAGTGAGAGCTGCAGGGGGCTGCAGGAAGGGGGTGTCCTAGGGAAGACACATAATTATTCCCTAGATGTAAACACTCATTGCAAGAGGGCTTGTGCTCTTCCTGTAAAGCTGCAGGGACACAACCTCTCAATTCGCACTCTCCTGCGAAGGCTCTGTCTTCCTCTGTTCTGAGGAATCGCTGGAGAAACACCAGCTGGGCCCTGAAGCACCTGCTAACGTTTCCATGTTGCACCCTGTGAGACTGCAGAAGCCCCTGCACCAGGGTGCTCTCAAGGGCTTCCTGCTTCCCCTTTCAGCAACACGGCTGCTTTCTCTCCCCAGTCAAAAGCCTGGCACATATATATGGTGTCAGTGAATTCAGATTTGTAACTATCACCTTTGTACCCATATCTCAGAGAGTTTCATTCCAGAAGGAAAACCTTAGTTTATCTACTCGCTGAGAGGTGGAAGCTTATCACTGTGTATTCTTGGATTAGCCAAACCTTCTGGCCAAGTTCCTCTACAGAAAACCCTTCAAAGGAAAGCCAGGACTCAGTGATGCAATTTCAAACAAGCTGACTAGTCAAGGAAAAAGGAACTGTGGAGTTGGAGGTACAGATGCAAAACAAAAGTTTTCAGGTCCTTTACTTCAGACGAGGCCAGTAACTCCTGAAGCCTGTTTGCCCATTCTGAACCTAGAAAGACGAATTAGGCCCTGATCTCTGACTTGATTCTCTCATGACCTCTTATTCTATGCTATATACATATAGCCTTATCAAATTCTCAATTATCAAAACATTTGTTTCCAGAAGTAAGGGCTAAGGAACTTCTAATTAACAACCAGAGAGTGACTTCTCATCCTGTAGGAATTTCCAGATTAGTATTTATAAGCAAAATAGTGTAGAGCTATTAAAAAAAAATACTATTGAACACATCCAGTGGTACTAAAATTCCAAATGTACAACATTTGGCTGTGGTTCAATTGACTTTTTGTCCCTAACAGGTAGTATTATGAGTACATTCTTGGAGTTGTACATGCTGCAGTCATTGTTAAATCAGTACATGTTACATCAGTACATTGTTAATAAATCAGTACATGTTCTGATTTATTTCAAACTTCATACTTGGAATACTATGTGCTTAACTCTTTCAGGAACTAGAAATACAAAAAAAGCCTTTGTCCTCAAAGAATTTGTATCATAGTGAAACACCATCTTTATCATGTTTCATCTGCATTACATGTCTATAAGGCAGGGAGCATGCTTTGTACTTTACTGATAAAGAAACTGAGGCAGAGAGAGGATTAGTATATTGGTTAAGATCTTTGCTTTCCCAGGCTGCCGGCAGGTGGTCAAGTTTCCCACACATTCTGAATGGTTACTTTTCAAAGCACAATGTCTCTTTAATAAGGCTGTCTGTTAGTGATTGATTCGTTGGTACTTTATAATTAATAGCTGTTTGTGAATTTCAGATCTGTCCCGGTTTATTGATCATTATATAATGGAAATGGTCTCTACAAGATATGCTTATATTTCGCTTTTGACATTTTTGATAAAAGAACCCCAGCACTCATGATCAAACCCAAACAGCATCGATTTATACTCACCGTAGAGTAAATGGATGACGTGCTGGAAACCAAGGAGAGTGAGGACCCATGGACTATTGGAACAAAAAAAAAAAAGAGAAAAGGTGAGTTGTGGGCCTGGCACAGTGGCTCAGTTAACTAATTCTCTCCCATATGGGTACCGGTGTGTGTCCTCACTATTCCCAGACACTTCCCATCCTGCTCTGAAATCTTGAAAAGCTGCTGGCCATTTAGATCGTTCTAGATGACTATGCAGAAGGGCACCTATTGAGAAAAATATGCTGGGCTTCCATGTTGTGAATAGTCACTGACTCTGGTGCCATCATCCAACATGGGTGCCAATTTGGCTACTCCATTTCCAATCTAACTGGCTGCTTGTGGCCTGGGAAAGTATCAGAGGATGGTTTGAGTGCTTGGGCCCCTGCATCCATTAGGAGACCCAGAAGAAGCTACTAGCTCCTGGCTTCAGACCAGTTCTGGCAGTTGCAGTCATTTACAGTGGATAGAAGATCTCTCTCCTCTTTCGTTAGAACCCTTCCTTTCAAACACAAAACAACACAAAATACCAAAACATACCCTGGGGCCATATTGCAGTGAAGCAAATTAAGCTGCCTACCAAGATACTGGCAACCCATGAATACAAGTTGCAGTTCTGGCTGTTCTACTTCTTATCCAATTCCCTGCTAATGTGAATCTGCAAAGCAGTAAAAGATGGCCCAAACACTTGAGGCTCTAACACTTATATGGATGATCAGGTGGAGCTTCAGGCTCATGCCTTTGGCCTGGCCCAGCCCAAGCCATTACAGCCATTTGGAGAGTCAACTAGTGGATGGACAATCTCTCAGGATCTCTCCCTGGTTGTTTCTCTCTCTGTCAATCGGACTTAACACAGATAAGAAGAGAGGAGAAAAGGAGGAGGAAAGAAAACAAAAAAAAGAGAGAAATTTCACATAACCACAAAAACACAGATTCTTCATTTGATCTCTAGATTATCTACAAAGTAATTATCAGGTGCCATCTGCCTCTATTTCAGGCTGGTACCTTTTGTTTTTTAAGATTTTTTTTTTAAATGAAAGGGCAGATATACAGAGAGGAGGATATGTCACTCCCCAAGTGGCTACAACAGCTGGTATTGAGGCAATCCGAAGCCAGGAGCCAGGAGCTTCCTACGAGTCTCCCATGTAGGTGCAGGGTCCTAAGCCTTTTAGCCATCCTCCACTGCTTTCCCAGGCCAAGAGCAGGGAGCTGGATGGGGAAATAGGGCTGCTGGGATTAGAACCAGCATCAACACCCACATGGGATCCCGAAGCATGTAAGGCAAGGACTTTAGCCACTAGGTTACCATGCCAGGCCCTCGGGCTGGTAACCATGACTGGGCTCCTATAGCAATCCTGTCTTGCCAACAATAGAGACATTTTATTGTATGTTTTTTTTTTTTTTAATTTACTTGCTTTTATCTGAACGGCAAAGCCAGAAAGATGAGAGACGGATCTTTCATCCACTAGTTCACTTCCCAGATGGCAGCAACTGCTGAAACTGGGTCGGTCTGAAGCCAGAACCCAAGAGTTTTTACTGGGTCTCCATTGTGGGCATAGGAGCCCAAGCTGATGCGCCAACCTCGGCTGACTTTTGTAGGCCATTAGCAGGGAGCTAAATTCCACAGCTGGGACTTAAACCAGCACACATATGGGATGCTGGCGCCACAACAGAGGCTTAACTTGCTACATCATAGTGCTGGCCCATATCCATTCTAATTTCTAAATGGAGTTTTCTAGTACTAGGTATTTGGCTGCCTTCTATTGGGAACCATGTTTTTTTGGCAACCTCCTGATACCTTGTTAAAAGACAGAAATACTGCTCTGCTGACTGTAGGCCTGATTTCCTGAGCACAGATTTCCTGATGCTGAGTGCAACGGCTCTAGTCCCACACTGTGCTGTATCCTGCAGCCTGAAAGTGGGAGGTTGCAGAAGAGCTTCTGACATGCCCTCAATGGCATTTGTCTGACACACAAGAAGTGAACTCATGCCTGGATAAGCCGTAGGCTGGAGCTACCTGCCAACAAGGTGTCTGATGAGCAACTCACCCTAACACTCAGGTACCTCTCCAGTCTTTCAACCCACCTTGCCTGTCTTTCCCCTCTTCCTTTACACATTCCCAACACACCGAATCCTGCACTTCTCTCCCAAGCATGCTCTAGGAGTTTTGCTTGTAGCCTTTGCCCACACAGTTCTCTTTGCCTAGGACAAATCCAGATACCACCTGTCAAAACCACTCCGTCTTTTGGGGGAGCTTTTTTCATCCTCTACCACCTGCATGGGCTTTCTCCTCCCAAGGTCCCCCTTCTTCCTTTTAGGGCTTCCTCATTCATTTAAGAGCTTCCCCAAGAAGTTTCTTGACAGTTATTTCAACCCACCTCTCTCAGAGTAGCTATCTGCTGCTCTGAGGCTGTCTATTTAGTTGCTACAGAAACAACCCTTGATGATAATGACCTGAATTCTAGATCTCCTCTTCATGATCAATCTGATTCATACTCCATGAAGAATCAAGTTAAAACACTGGGGTTTATGGTGCAGTGGGTTAAGCCACCTGCAATGCTGGCATCCCATAAAGGAGTACTGATTCAAGTCACGGCTGCTTGGCCTCTGGTCCACCTACCTGCTAATGCTCCTGCGAAGGCAGTGAATGATGGCAAAAGTACTTAGGTCCTTGCCACACACATGAGATACCCACAGAGTCCCTGGTAGTAGACTGGCTCAGGCCTGGCTGCTGTGGCCATCTGGGAAGTAAATCAGCAGATAGGAGAACTCCCTCTGTTTCTCCCTCGTTCTCTCTCTTTATCACTCTTCCTTTAAACTAAATAAATGAATCAACTTTCAAAAACTCAGCTTTATGTGCTAACGAGCAACAATGTCTTTCAGTTCTATTATGTCAACAATGCCTCACCTAGCTGCTTCATGTTCCAAAAAAACAAGCTCCTTTAGCAGCATGTCTCAAACAGTGTTGGAGAGACTACACTGGAGGCCAAGTTGGATGAAGAGAGATGGTTCATGTGTCAATCATAGCTGCATGACTGCCCTGTCTGAGGTTGGCTCCAGAGGCCTGCATAATCTGCTGGATTGTTACATCTCATTTACATAAACATCCTGACCCAGCTTCTGCTATAACTCAGCCCAACGTGGGCAGAGAAGAGTACACTTGGCAGGCTTAGGGTAGAAGCAATTAATTTATCTGTAATGACTCCCCTCCCTTCATAAATAGCAACAACAAGGCTGTGGTCCAAAGAAAGAAATGACTTGATTTCCAGCATCAACCCCAAATTGAATGTGGCTTGCCCGAACCGCTGCCATTGGCTCTCCTTCAAGTGACTGAGCCAAGTCAGAACTTAGGTTATGTGGCATGGATACTTCCAGGCAATAAAATGCTCATGCGAGTTGAACAACTACAATATGTCATGCCATTTTCCTCCCTATCCCTGTACCTCCAAAACCCTACAGGCATAATAAGAAACCAAGGGAGAGCTGAATTGTCTTGGCTACTGCAGCCACCTCAGCCACTGAGGAATTGGAAACACAAGAGAAGTTCAACGACTGGCTTAAGGCCACACAGCAGTCTAAGAACAAGTTGTGCTGACCATTGTTCTCGAGGATGCTCTGCCTTTGGTGATGTCCCCAAGTTAGTTGTTTTTATTTTTTTTCTCTTTGTGTCTTTTAGGACGATTTCCTAATTCCTCCCCCCCCTTAAATCATCAAATGGGCATTAGCCAGTACTGCAGTTTGAGAAGAAAAATGCTTCAGTATGGGTGAAACCACTAGACAGAATGAAGCAACAACACATCTATGATGTAACATCCAAGCATTCCCTAGACTGCCACACATGTATAGCTTCCTGTTAACTAAAGTACTTTCCACTTGTACTGTGGTACTGCTTCTTGATGTGATCTTCATCATCCCAGAGAATTTACATATCATAAAACCAGACTAAGCAGGAGTTTATAGCCTTGTTTAGCAGTGAGTTGATGCAGACTGGTTAAGTGAGGGGCAGGTTAAGACACTGGTTGGAATGCCCACATTCCATACTAGAGTGCCAAGGTTTGTGTCCCACTGCAAGTCCTAACTCTCGCTTTCTGTTAATGTGCTCCCTGGGAGGCAGCAAGTGATGACTTTAGTAGCTTAGCCCCTTCCTCCTCTGTGAAAGCCCTGGATAGAGTTCTTGGCTCCCAGGCATTTGGGGAAGTGAGCCAACAGGTTCAATGGTATTTTTGAAACAAATAATAAACAAACATTTTAAAAAATTAAATTACACTATTTAAGTGATGTGTTCAAGCACACCCCACAAGGCAGGTGCAGAGGGAACGTGAATCTCTGCAGTGCGCTCTAGTGCGTGTGGTGCAGCCCAAAGCTAGGGAAATTGAGAACCTCTTCTCATGGCTAACAGACCACCATGCCTCTCAACCAGCCAATGATACAAACAAATAAAAGATCATAGCTAGACTGAGAGAGCCTCAAACACCCAGCTGAGGCACCTGTAGAAACAGCACCGACAGAAAGACTGAGCATTGAGAAACCAGACGTCAAGGATCCAGTCTTAATTGCATGAAGTCTCAAGTTGCTTCAGCCTTTTTGGCACTAAACACAGATGGGGACAATAATGTACTACTGTTGAGTACACAAGAAAGCCCTTTCAAAGTAATTTGCTACACACTTTCCAGGATTTGTCTCTGTTAATCTTCACATCAATCCGCAGAAGCAGCCATGATCACGTCCCATATTTTAGTGAACAGAAAGCAGGTTGAGCCAGGTCAAGTTCTTTATGCAAGGTCATGTTGCTAATAGGGTAGGGGCCAGGATTCGGCTCATGACTTACCTCAGAGGCTAGAAACACAGGGAAGTAGCAACACAAGATTTCTTCATTAATGAGATGCTCTACCCTGTAAATTCCCTATAAACTGACAAGTCAGGGGTTTCTGAGTTGGAGATTGAAACAGCTCTTAGTCACGACTGATTAAGTCACAGGGTATTTTTTTTTCTCTAAGAACACTCATTTTCAAAATGCCTTAAGCACCCCCTAAGTGTGTGCCATTAAAGTTGACTATAAGATGGCATCAATGCATCTGATGGGACTCCATTTACCTGAAATAACTCTGAATCTGTGCATCTGGGCCACGACTGTACCTAATTTACATATTGATGATTCCTATTCCCCTCAAAATGGAAAGTACTAATTAGATGGCACAAAAAACCTCATACAAATCCTTCTGTTAATTCTCCCCAGTGTTCTGTCCTGCTTTATGGACTATGATACACCTGAATGGCTATTTGGTTCTCCTTAGCCCAAATGTGAGATAAGAAATTTTCCCCAAGTGTTCCTGCAGCAATGGCTTATATATTTCAAATAAAAGACCAAAGTCTTTATGCAAAGGAATTAGAGGCATCAAATTATCCAAATCCTATTTCATTTTTCGAACATGAAAAAAAACTAAAGGCAACCTGATGCCAAATTTCCCAGATGAAAATGCTACATATTCATGGTATGCTGAAAATGATCCCTGCCCCCTCGCCCAAAGCCTGGTTTTTACCTCTGCACTTCAGCTCTTTGTCATTATGAGTCATTAGGTATGTAGAAGTCTAGACACCACTTGTGGGCAAGTAGTTTTTATCAATGTCATTGTGACAACCCAGATTTTCCACAGTTGGACTGCCTGACAACTTGATTCCAGATGGTACAAATAAGAGCTATTTGATGATGATACTGTAAAAGTTCTGGACCTTAGAGAAGCAAAGTGTGCTTGTCTGGACAAGTTTCTGTGCTGAATATGGTTCACTCAGGTGTATGCTTAGAAGAGAAGAACACAGCACAGAGTGAACTCTATGGCTGAGTGATCATCAAGGAACTTGAACATGTTCCTTGATTATGCTGGACTACCACCTTGACTTGAAGAAGACACAAGACAAACTACCAGCTCTTTCACCTCAGGTCAACACTTCCTACACTGACACGGCTCTGTGCAGCTTCACCATTGATTTCTCACTCTCAAATCTTGAAAAACACAGCCAAGAATACAGGCTTCTTTGTGCCTTAATCCACTGTCCCAGGAGGTTCCAAGTGTGCCTTCACATCTGCTCCTTGGATGTCACTGCATCTGCTCCTTGGATGTCACTGAATGCAAAGGATCCATAAATCAGTGGAAGAACATTAAGTAAGTTAAGAATGGGGCAATTGCTGTGTAACTGAATTTTTTTAAACTTTGGTGAAAAATAGCTCTAGGCAAAGGCAGGTGTCTCTATCTTGTACCTCTCTTCTTTTAACTGGGGATTTCCTAAACAATCATGAATTCCTTGTTTTTTCCCTAGCAAGCAGGAGCAGAGTGTATCTATTTCCCCAGTCTTGCAGGAACTGGTAACAGACAATGCCTATGACTTGCCCCTGCTTTGTTATAGGTGAAAAAGGCACAATCAGATGGCTTTCACCTCGGGTTTCACTTGTCCCCAGAGTGCCCATCCTCTGGCTGGGGACTTTGAGTTGTTCATGCTGAAGCTTGGTCTACAGATGATGACATGTGATAACATGCTTGCATGGACATTTATATGTTAGATTTTTCTCTATTCTCATACTTCAGGAGCTAACTACTGTTATTATTCCTATTAAACCAGTGAGCATGAAAAAAAAAGAAGAAAAAGAAAACCTGAGGCACAAAGAGGTAAACCAGCATGGAAACCTAAGAAACAGTGGGTGCTGCAGGGTGCTGGGTTAAGCCATTTTTTGAAACACCTATATCCCATACTGGAGTGCCTGGGAATCAGCTCTTACCCTCTGCTTCCGATCTAGCTTCCTGTTAATGCACCTGGTAGGTAGCAGATAATGGCTCAAGTTCTTGCATCCCTGCCACCCACAGGGGAGAGCCATAATGAAGTTCCAGGCTCCTGACTTTGGCCTAACTCAGCTCTGGATGCTGTGGGCATTTGGTTAGGAAACCAATAGATGGGCACTGTCTTTTTCTTTCTCAATCTCTCAGCATTTCAAATAATTAGATAATATGATTAATAATCAAACATGAGAAATTTATGAAGTAATGGGCCTGCAACTCAAGTTCTAGTAATATGAGGCCATAATCTTGATCATTAGTGAATAAGTGCTACCTCTAAAGCAAAGGGAAGCTGAAAGGATAGGTGGCAAAGTTGTTCACAGAAATATCCTCCCACAATTCTGATGAAAATGAGCACAGATCATTTGGTCAATAATCAAAGAAAGAAACTAATAAACTAAACTTTAAAAACTGGTGCTCGGAAGATTGGATAAGAAAGCTTTGGTTCATCTACTCCATGGAATACTACTCAGCTATTAAAAAAAACAAAATGCAGTTCTTTGTGGCTAAATGGGCACAACTGGAAACTATAATGCTAAGGGAAATGAGCGAATCCCAAAAGATTAGATACCACATGTTTGCCTTGATTTAACCTGTAATTTTTTGTTTGGTTGTTTGTTATTTTTTGAACCTGTCATTGATACTGTCTCAACCCAGATGTTTCGAAGAATGGAACTTGCATTATTCTTAACATATTGTTTACCCAATACTATGTCAATTAATTCCATAATGTTGTATAATGATACTGAGGCCTTGTTGGGGCTTTTAACTGACTGGTTCTTTACTCTGTTAGACCTATCTTCAGACCATAGAAGGTCTCCCCAAGAGGCCACTGAACTTATCTGGACAATAAGACGCTGAACTTTATGCTAGGCATGTGTTTGCAAGCAATGAATCTCAACTGAACTTGAACTATGGTTATGCAACAAGGTGGAGGAATCCACCATGGGGGGAGGGGTATGGGAGGGGTGGGGGGGGATCCCCAGCGCCTATAAAACTGTACTACATAATATAATGTAAGCAACAATAAAAAAAAAATAAAAAAAAATAAAAACTGGTGCTCGAAGGGCTGGTACTGTGACACAGCAGAGTAAGCTGCTGCCTGGGACGAATACGTCTCATACTGGAGCGTGAGTTCAATTCAGCTTCCTGCTAATACATCCTCCAAGGCAGCAGATGATAGCTCAAGTGTTTGAGCTCCAACCTCCTACAAAGGAGAGCTGGACACAGTTTTAGGCTTCTGGCTTCAGCCTGGTTCAGCCCTAGTTGCTGCGGGCATTTAGGGAGTGAAACAATGGATAGAAAGTCTATAATGTGTGTGTGTTCAAGGAGATGAAAACAAATGAACAATATTGAAAAGAAAAGAGAGCAAGTTTAACAAAATAATAGTGCTTGAGAAGAGTTCTGGCACAGGAATACCTTTCCAGGCCTTCAAGCTATGCGGGTGGATGTGCCGGCACAGGGAAATTAACCCTCCTGTGACATGACCTGCCAAAATGATGTACTGATGGCTGAGCCTCAAGACACAAACGCAAGCCACGAAGCTGTGGCCCAAGTCCAAGAGAGACGCCCAGAACACAGCTCAGTCATCAGCTTTTTTTCAGCAGCTCTTCCCTATAGTCCTGCAAGGCGAATTCAGGGTCAGAGCTCACTAACCAAAGTTCCTTCTCCCTAACCCCTAGAGGAGGTGGGGGTAATAACAGTGTTTACAGGTGGACTCTCAGATCAACCAGGAGAGCCTAACATAGAAGACCATTAACAAGGCAGAGTCACCTGGGAGCTGGTGCATCTCCTTACCTTCTTCAAACCCATCCCGGAATGAGCCTGATCGACTCATGGTTCTGCTCTTCTCATCCAAAGACATGGAACTATTCCGGAAGCGGCTATCAGTGTATGGGTCATACTGCCCGTCAGCATTGGAGAGGCTGTGCGTCCTCAGCATGGTTGGGTTCGACAAGCTCATCTGGGTGACAGTGGTGGGACTTGCTGGAATGACAGCAATAGAATCAGAAGGCTGGAAATCCAAAACTGTGCAACAATCCAAGATGAGGACAGAGAAGTTACTTATCATCAAGTCGTACGTGTTTCTGCCACCTTCTCTGGCTTGTCTATTTCCTAAAAGGTTTGTCACATCAGCATTTGAGTTACATACTTTGAGCTAAAAATAAGGGAGGAAAGGCAGGTCAGTTCCAAAGGCAGGCTCTGGGCCTCGCCTTTCTAAGTTGGCACGTTCAGACAAGCCACGGTCCCCTTCCAGGCATGAGCTAATTACTCCCTGGGCTCATCTGGAACAAGCCTTTCTAATGCCAAAAGCCCAAAATAGTCCAATGAAGCTTTTGATCAGATGGGAAACATTTGTGCATGACACAAATCTCCTGCCTCAAAGAATTACGGCTGCAAAAGAACAGTATCAGCATGGGCCTCATCACCTCAACTGGCAATCCCTCACAAAGATCTACCAAGAGTTTCAATGCATAGGAAGTTTTACCCTAGCTAAAAGGAGCCTGCTTATAAAAAATTCTGCTTGTTTTTAGTAAAGTACAATATTTTCAGAGGTATCATGTCATTCACCAGATTATAAGCAGCACCTATCCTTGAAGGCTAAATTCCCAATGTGCAATATTCAGGAAGAGCTGGCTCTCCAAAGAGCTAGTAGAGATTGGAAAAGATCTTCCCCTTCTGAGGCTCCCCTCCCTCCCTGCCACCTTCATGTAAACCCTGCCAACAATTCCAGCCAGCATTCATCTTTTCATTTTCCAACTGCTTATAACACTTCCTATCTGATTATATCCCATTTTTACAGTTTCCTATAAAGCTTTGGATCACTGCCTTTTACCCCATTTCATGAACCTGTGGGAGTCTGTTTCTCTGAAAAGAATCCCAGCACGCCTGCAGAGACTGCTCCATATTGTCCCCCCAGGCAAAGCACTATGTCACAAACAAGCACTTCTAAGACTAGCTGTTCAATCAAAACTGACCTTGAATTTCAACTTAATAAAGTAATGAAAATGACGAGATACAAGATCTATTGCAAAACCCATTTCTGCAGAGGTCTGGGAACCCATCAGTCTCAGGAATGGGATAATTTGCTACAACTCTTTTCCATGTCAACAATAGGAAGAAATGATTGATCAGTGTATCACACATGTTCCTACATTCTCTATTTCTTTCATTTTACGTCTCTTGTAATTAGTCCAGTTTGTGCAGAGTTGACCAAGTACGAGAGGGATGTGAGTACATATGTGTGAATAACCACCAACTTACTTCAAACACAAAACCACTTCTGTGCCACAGAGCTGATCAGCACAGCTGATGACTAGGGGCTACTCACCAAGCTGGGAAAAGTTGAATCTCGTTCCAGAGGGAGAAGTTACACTGGAGCCAGAGGAGAAAGGGGAATTGGCAGCAGTGTCCTGCAGGCCTCCAGCAGAGTGGGACCGTAACCATTCTTTTGCGTCCTCTTGTGTGCGAAGCTGGGAGGCGGGAGCATACCTGGACAGACAGAAATCAAGCTGCAATTGGCTGCGAACAACACATGGAAATGAAGTCTGTGGGGCTGATAACAGACATAAAAATATGCATCCAAAGATGATTTTTTAAAAATAAGATATATGCACATCCTAACACTTAGGAACCTTCTCCGATCTTTGCTGTGACTTGGCTGTGTTGTGGGGGAAAGGACAATTCCTTTCAGGTTGGAGGGACTATGCAGCGGGAGAAAGACTGGTAAATGCTCAAACGAGCCGTCACAGGGCGTTCCTGTAACATGTTGATTCACGACAGCATCATGTCAAACCCCCATCCTGACAGGGCTGGGGCAGCACAAAGGGCTGCTATTGGAGCTCTGAGGATGTTTTAACTAGGGAACTCATGGCATCTGCATTCTACAGCTCAGGAGAGTGGCCACAATTACAGTGTATTCGAAAGCACACCTGCAGAGGGAAGTTCAGGGGCCTTGAGACGCGGAGCCTTTGCTACAACGCACAGGTTCCTTTAGAGAAGCCCTCTGTCACTGCAATTCACACAAGAGGGGCTTCAGAAGTCATCTGGTCAGTCTCTCCATTAATTCCTAAACATATCTGAAAGCGATTTATCGTTAGGAGTCTTTAGGGGCATTTTCTCTCTCTGAAGCTTTAGACCCACTCAGCAACAATGACGTTATCATCGGATTTAACACTCAGGGAAGGTATGGAGGTCGCCTTGGGTCACAGAGCTAAGATCGTCACTTGGGCTTGTCTAATTTCCAAATCCAGGCAGCATCTGGAGTTTCTGTGATGCCCATGTGGCCAGGGTGCGAATGGATGTAGGTGTTTTTCAGTGGATACTGGTCATTAGGTGAAAGGACTCTTGTCAGTGTGCTGTTACTGCATGTGTATGGTATGCATGCAGTGTGAGAGCTGGGCCAGAAGTGCACCAGAGAGAGACAACACAAAAAGGCCTCTCCCTTCTTATTTTACTGTGCTTGATGACCCCGAAACTTACTAAAACACAGCAGTGACCAGGAAAGAGCCACTCACATAGTATCATTCTGATTTTTTAAAAAAATCAGTTTTTTTAAAAAAACATTTGTTATATTTGTATTGGAAAGGTAGATTTACAGAGAGAAGGGGAGGGGGAGAGAGAGAGGGAAAGAGAGAAGGAGAGAGAGATGGAGAGAGAAGGAAAGAGAGAGATCCTTCTGACTGCTGGTTTGCTCCCAAAGACAGGAGCTTCTTCCAGGTCTCCCATGAAGGTGCAGGGTCCCAAGGCTTTGGTCCATCCTCTATTGCTTTACCAGGCCACAACCATGGAGCTGGATGGGAAGTGGAGCAGCTGGGACATGAACCAGTGCTCATATGGGATCCTGGTGCATGCAAGGCAAGGACTTTAGCCACTAGGCTACTGCGCCGAGCCCAAAAGTAAAAGTGATAGGTGAGATCTGCCATAGACATATACACAAGATTTCGAAATGCTAACACTTAGAAGGTAGCTTCCTCTTGGCACAAACTGAAGCCCCAAGTCTGACTTAGTCAACTCCAAGGTAGTGTAAGAATGGCTATCATGGGGCCAGCACTGTGGCATAGTGGGTAAAGCTACCCCCTGCGACACCAGCATCCCATGGGAACAGCTGGTTCAGGTCCTGGCTACTTCACTTTCAATCCAGCTCCTGCTACTAAGTTAGGAAGAACAGTGGAAGATGGCCCAAGTGTTTGACCTCTGTTATCTCTGTGAACATAGCTCCTGGGTTCAGCAGTCTGGTCCAGTGGGAGCCACCTTGAGAGTGAACCATTAGATAGAAGATCTCACTCTCTCTTTTACTCTTATAACTCTTTCAAAATAAGTCTTTTTTTAAAATCTAAAAAAAAAAAAAACCAAGAGTAGACATTATTTAAGCATCCGGCATGGCTGCCAACATGCCACCCTCACAGGCACAAGGGAAGCTCTTAAGTACAAAATCCTGGCCAAGTCCCCGTTCAGGCCACAGGAGACTCTGTTGGGAGACTTCAATACTTTCCTTCTTGAATTCCTGGAAGCAGCTTCACTCAGAATTTCTACTGAAAGGGAACATTGATACCCACCTCACATTACCACCCAAACTGCCCTCGGCCTTACGAACCACAGACACACATGAGAGCAACAAAGCATTTCATTCCAAGCTCCATTTTATGCAAAAGCATTTCACGCTGAATGCATGGGGATGCTGATGCTACAGAGAACCAGGGGTTGAGAAAGTGATAGCTACAGTCATGAGAAAGCAACCACGGGGAGGTATTACCAAATAATAGTTTCTCTGGCTGCCTAAGAGATGTAGATGGTGACAACAACAATGACTTATGGCATCTGCTTTTACTGGGATGAGCACTGAGAAACATGCCCAAGCCATGAGTCAAGCCTGTGTGGAAGGTCATTCCTTCCTATCAGTCTTTTCTTTATGATTAGCAAAACATGATTGTACCTGTTACCTTGGTGGGCACTGAAGGCCAACCCAATTTTTGATGAGAATATTTAGACAGGTACAAAGACTCCCTTTTCAATGATTATTTTTGTGTGAAAAAGATGACTATTTTCAATTTAGGGAAAAAACTTTTCTTGGCATTTGCTCTGGTCCCGTTAGCATGCGATAAGTCATGTCCTTCCTCTAGGAAGACAGCCATGTGGACAGGATGGGCATGGTGAAGAGCTCAGGGGTAAAACCCGCTGGCCCCAGAAGCAGCAAGGGACTGCTCCTTGGGCTTGCCAGGGGATGGTTTTCATGAGATGGTTTTACCATGGTAAGCCTGAAAAAGCACAGCCCCTGCTCAGGTAAACAAGCCAACAAATGGAGATACAAACAAGAGGCCAGGGAAGCCATCACCCACAAGATCCTGCTGCAGTGGCCAAAGCATGGACCCCAGCCCAGCCCAAACCCCCAGCAGCCATGACAGAGCCACACAGCCAAGCTCCAAAGCCAGAACAGCTGGACGGTAGGGATGCATAGAGGAAGCACAGATACCTGAGTCCTTTCTTAGGCAAAGTGTTCCTATCAAGGTGCGGGTCACTGTAGGAAAGTTAAAACAAAAAATGAGAACTTAGCAAAGTACAGGGAAGGCAAAGGGGAGAAGGCTAGAGCCTAGGGAGAGAGACTCACATCACTGGGGAGAGCTCCTTCATCCAGCGAGGCATGCAGCACAGCCACATCCACAGCGAACAAATGAACGAACAAACGACACCCAGGGCTCAGACTGAGCTCACACTGGGGCATGCGTTGTCCCAAGTCACCAGGTGGCCCAGGCCCAAGCGTGGGCCCCAGCTCTGACTCACACAAGCTTCTCGGACAGAGAGGTGACTGCTGCCCAGTACCTCCAACTTTGGTCCTCTTCCTCAATGCTACAGGCATTGGCTTCAAGTGAGAGAAAGGACTTGTTGTGAAGTTTCAAGAGGCTAGCAGTCTGCATGTTTGGAATTCATCTGTAACGAAGTGAATTCCAGGTCTCTCTCGATTTCCACAGCCCACTTTGGGTGATGCTGGCAGCCAAGCCCTGGGTCTGAGTCGGGCATGCTACAACTTGCCGACTGGTAAAGTCAAGGCATTTGGGTTTAAGAACGAGGGTTTTTTGTCTGCAAGTCTGACAAAAACAAGGCTTTTGCTGTTGATGGGGTGAAGAAGGTTTTCATTCTTTTTTTTTCCCCCACTAGCATGAAACAACATCTGCTTGCTATGTTTGGCCAAGCCGGCCCTCCTCCGCCAACTTAAGGTCAAGATCCCTCTTGGAGGCCCACCCACAGCTGGGGACCAACACAAGCTTCTTCATCTGTGAGTCTCCCCACTCCACACACTGTCTTTCATGGTCATTACAGAACCTGGGCACATACAACACAAGAGCCTGTAAGCCACAAGGAGCCACACAGCAGCAAAGCACTTGGAGAGGAACCAGAGCCAGCTGCATGGGAGGCAGAGGTGAGACCAGCTGCAGAGTGGGTGGCAGCTCAGGCCTGGGATGGGGTGGGGAAGGAAGGGAGAGGACAGGAAGCTGGAGGGCAAGAACATGCCATAGGGGGCCACAGGAGATGCCAGGGAGAGCTCCAGCCACCCCAGATCAACTTGCTGGGTTTGAGGTCGCCATACCCTGTGGGGATAGAGGAGCATGCCCAGGTCCACCTCTCCGTGGGCTTTGGCAGGCTGTGGAGCAGACACTCACTGGCATGTCAGGTACACAGACCACACTAAAGTCACAAACACAAGCAGAAGCCTGGGGCCAACAGCCTTGCACAAAACATCCGGCTTGGCAATGCACGGGCAGAGGAACCTCACAACTTGTGGGGACTGTGACCTACAATGTCATTACCTGTCCTGTTTCCGGGGCAAAGTACTTCTGCAGAACTTAGGGCTAGCAGCAGGGGAAGAGAGAGGGCTAGAAATCCAGGCAGGTAGAAAACAAAAGGAACATTAGATTGGAAGCAAGGAGAGGTGTTATTACACACAATGATTAGAACATCCTTCTCATTCCCAGTGCTAACACTGGTTTTCTTCGATGTGTGCAGATCCTAGACACATTCTCACTCACTACTGTAATGAAACCCAGGGCTCTGGACATAATTTTAGTTTCTTCCTTTTCCATCACTACAGCCAGCGGCACTTCAGGAAGGCATGTACCATGATGACCAAGGGATTTATCCAGCTATGAAAGGATCAGCCATGCTCCTCTGTGGCTGCACCAGGTCACCTACTATACTCAGACAAGTCCCCAAAAGGGGGCAGAAGCAGCTGACAAATGGAATAAAATGGAAAATTTTCAAAGGTTGAGGGCTACTTCAAAGGGTAGCAGACATCCATCCCTAAGGGACTTCTGGCAGCTCCAAGCAGCAAGGATAACCACACAGATAAAGAGAACCAGAAGCAGAGACACAGTGAACTCCACTCCAAGCTGGCTTCCCCGTGAAAGACGTAAACAAAAAGAGAACAACCTCACAGGTGCAGGTTAGTCCAACTGGGCATTAGTAACCTGAATTTGTGTTTTCACATCTGGGAAAGGGTCATATTTCCAGAGAAAAGGGCAAAGCTGGGGGCACAGCACCAACCTTTCGGACAGCGTGGTCTTGACACTGTTGGTTCTGACAAAGGGAGTCAGGGAGTCATCCTTAGAGGAGCTGATAAGGCCAGTGGAGGAATTGTGGCTCAGTCCCCCTCCGCTGCCAAGAGAGATGTCAATAGACTCACAGCTGGTGTGCAGGCTGCTGACGGACTGGAAGCCCAGGCCATCCTTGCTCACCGCCGAGGAGCTGCTGGCGTTGGTGCCCCACGTGAGGCTGTTGGAGGGGCCCGAGTGGGCAGAGCTGGGGCTGGAGGCTAGAGGAGACTGGTTGAGGTCCATGTTCTTACTGTAGAGAGGGCTGCTGCCACCACTGCTCAGAACGCCACTACCCGAGGGTGAATCTAAAGAGCTGTGCTGGGTCATGGTGGCGTGGGGGTTGGAGATGACCACAGAATTTTTCAAGTTTTCAGCTGTGGCGATGGGCACTTGCTTGGTAGGCTTCCCACCAAAGAGTCTGTGAAGAGACAAAGCAGTATGTGGGTGGACTTCCCATCACCACGGGCTGCTGAGCTGTGAAAGGATAGGGGATACGGGAGACCGAAAAAGTCTCTGGGGAGGGACAGAGTCTTTGCTACTGAAAAGCTAGCAGCCCTCTATAGGGACTGACCGGCAGTGATGTAGGCCTTGACACTGGTGTGTCACAGGAGCTGTCTCCAAAGTCTAGACCATGGCTGAGACTCCAGTTCTATTAAGGGCAAAGGATACAGGGACAGAACACTCTGTTCTTTGTATAAGGGCAGGCCTATACACTCTGGTCCAAGATCTTGCTTCCCTTCATTTCTACAAATGGCTAAACAGAAAAATGCCCCGGCCCATGCAACAACTAGAGGGGAAAGGACCATCTTCAACATCCTTGTGTCTTGCACAGGCAGGAGGCACCCAGGGCTGCAGCAACAACTCAACTCCAAGGGATCTGGTTTCTTGGGTCTCTAAGCCTAACACTCAGAAGCAAGAGTAAGCATCCAGATCTCCACCAGTTTATCCTGCCAGATGTGACTTTTAGAGTCACAGGATTTGTATTTCCAATGACATGCAAAGCAATCCTATTGGGCCCACATGACCAGACACTGGGATTGAATGGTGCCTCTCCAACAAAGATAGAAATGGTACTTCATGGCACTTTATCTGCTCAAGACCAGAAATGTGCTATTACACTTCAAGCAATGGGCACACTGGCCAATAGATCTCTGGAGGAACAGGAGGACCATCACAGACCATCTTAGAGCTAGCAGAGTGGGCTCAGCTCTACCCACCTAATCTTATGTGGGATAAACATCTATGGAAAGTACTGAGATGACTGAATATCAAGCCAGGCAGACAGCCTTTTAGCCAGCTCTTTCTATGGTATGGATTCCACCTTAGTCCTGCAAGCCTCAACTGTTGTAAAGACAAATCTATCATCTGCCCATCCATCAATCCTCATGACAGTGTCTGGTGAAGAGATGACATGTTTTCCTCCAGGTGACAAAAATGGCAGAACCTGACTACAGAATGTTTACAAACACCATTGACAGGGACCTTACAAATACAAAGAGGTACTCGATCCACTGCCAACACCAAAGTGGGATCCAACTTTGTCTACACTGCTTCTTACCCCACAGCACATAACCTACACAGAAGTCATCCATCTAGTGTCAGTCCCACACATCTTATGAAGAGAGCTGTCTCCTGCCCTTTACCTACCAGTCCTCTCTTTTCCATGCCAATGCATGCAGAAAGAATTGAGAACATCTTAACGATTTTGGGGAAAATGTCATTCACCAGGAATTGGCTGAAAGGTGTTTGATGCAGAACCAAGGGAGCTGCCTGCATTGTCAAGTGTCCTATTTCACAAGCCTGAGGGTCTCATAAAATGTCTTTGTAGTGACTAAAAAGAAATCCATAATACCAAAGAATGCATATTACATGTAACACTTAGGGCAAGAAGCTCTCAAAGTTTTCATTTACAAGGCAGTCTGTTAAAACAACAAAGCAGCCCCAGAGGACCTTCTCCCTGGAGAATAACCATTACTGAAATTCTAATAATCAAGTCTAGACAAAGAACAGTGAATGGCTTCATTACATCCTTCTCGTGGAACGCTGCTTCTGAAGTCTTTTCAAACATTCCTGCTCATCCCCAAATATGTGCATGTGCCTGTAATGCTTGTTTTTGGCATGGCTTAGTTTTCTATCTTGGGGTCTTAATTCTTTTTTTTCTGACAGGCAGTTTCCTGGGAAGATAGGATGAGCTCTAACCTATGTACTTCCAGCCAGAGGATGATGTACAAACAGGCAAAAGGTGTCTATTTTAAAAGACACCCCTGAAACAAACATCGAGCAAAGAAGACTGTCACATTAAAAACTTCCACCTGGTGTGGGAAGAAAATGAGGCCTTTTGAAGGTGATAGGAAACCAATTTTCCTTTGCAGAATTATTCATGAGGATTTTCCGGGAGGCGGGGTATCTAAAATTTCAGATACTAACTTGGAATTATTCATGCAGTATAACAATGCGAGGCTGTTTGTGAAAATATCTAGCACAGATCTGTGCCACAGTGAGGAAGCTCAGACATGGAACTACAAAGATAAGAGAAAAAAAAATGTGTTTCCCACAAGTTACCTACCCAGGACTAGAGTGTATCAAACCTTGCCAGCTAATGCTGATCCAATGTTAACCATAGGATAGGCTTCTTGCTACATGGATTAACTTTTAACTTTTACCGGACACTGAGAAAAAGTATCATCACCTGGTTGCAAATGAGGAGATTGAGATCTAATTGTTAAGAATTTATAACAGTCAAGTCAAATGGAGCTGGGATTTGAACCCAACAGGAAAAGCTTCTGTTTTTCCTCCCTATGTGGGAAAACAATCCATTGACTTAAACCTGCCGGCAGGATCTGCCCAGACAGCTTTATCCAAGGACTGCAGAGTAGAAAACACAGAGACTGCTTTAACTAAGACCCAGGAAATTGTTCATCGAAGCAGCCATCCCACTCATTCCGGCTCTACTCAGCACCACTTACCTGCGGAGCGTGGGAGAGGCCACATCAGGGTACTTGCCCCCAGGCTGCAGAGGGGCCTGAGCCGAGGCAGGTACAGGCTGGGCTGCTGGGTTCACTTTCACTGAATTGCAGGAGGCCACGCTCTCATTGTCTGATGAAATGCCTTTCTCCTTGTCTGTCTGGTTGACCAGGCCAGGCAGAGAGCTGCCAAGGGCTGTCTTGGAAGGCTCCCTCAGCTTGGGTACTGGCAGGCCTGCCGACTTGCTGCTGATGTTGGAATCGATGCTGCTGGTGCTAGACCTGTTCCCAGCCCCATTCCGGCTGTTGGACTTACTGGGTCTGGGCAAACTCCGATACTGCAGGTTTGTCCGGGAGCTGAGCGAGAGATACCCATCGTCCTGATTCTGAGCCCCATCCATGCTCGTCTTCCGGCCAGCAGACCGACCCACCAGTGCGGAGGACTTGGGGATTTTGCCCAATGTGGCTGACCTGCTGGTGACAGTGGCCCCACTGGCAGTGATCATGGCCAGCCCTGCAGCCGAACCACTCTGCTTCTTAAACCCAAAGCTGTTGGTGTTGGCCGTGGGCGTACGGGAGTTGTTGGGCAGGGGCTTTTTGGATTCGTCGCCGCTGCTGCGCCCAGCATCTGATGGAGACCGCTTCACCTGCGAAGCTTTGGGAGAAAGTCTTCCTTTCTCAGACACTTTTGCATCATCAGTTTTCCCTATGAGAGAGATCAGCGAGGTTAACCTGCAATCCCAGGTAGTCTGTGACAGATGCTCCCCTCTTCCGAAGACCTCGCTCACTTCCTTCTCCAAGAAAGCAGTACCTTGGTGAGGCAGCAGGAAGAGCTTTTAATAAAGATAAACTAGGCTGCAGTTGTCACTGAGACCTTTTCGAGAGAGGTCAGTGATTTAGTACATTTGCAAAGCAGTCTAAATTTCTCAGAAAAAGGGAAAGTCAGCCTAGCTCCTTTATTATCCCTTCACGCACTATGTACTGTCCATTAACAGGCTGCCCCTACCACTTCCAAGGGAAGCACCTGCTTTTGTGTACACCCAACCCCTAAATCATGGGCAATTTCAACTCAACACACCAACTACATGTGAACTCACACCACTGAACAACCTGTACCAAGTGTGTTAGCTCCTAGCCAGCATAGACTTTAGCCAATTCAGTATGTCTGAGTAGCTGTACTGTCTTCAGAGCATCTGCATCTGCACTTAGGAAAGATGGGGAGTTGAAACTTGATGCAAACTCATGGCTATTAGAGTACAAACCCTAAAATCTGACATCAAACCTTTCCTGGAATAACCATGGTTTTGGTTTTCACGTTGACTACTGCAGGTGCAAAATGGCATCAGGCTCTCACTCACCAGTGCCTGGCGTCTTCAGCACTCCCGCTGCTGGGGCAGATGGCTTCGTCCTTGGCACAGTGATGCCCACCTGAGCAGTCATGCCCCTCCGCCATGAGCCTGTCTGTGAGATGACAGGATTCTTCTTGCCCGACGTGCTTTTGTCGGACTCGTCAGACACATCAGAAGGATTGCGCCTCCACTTGGAGGCTGGCTCCATCTTTATGCCGCTATCTGACCCGCCGTCTGACTTCTTGATGTCATCACAGGACCACAGTGAGTTCCTCTCCACCTGGGAGTGCTTCTCCGCGTCCGTCTGTAAGGAGAGAAGCCCAGGGAGTTAGTCCTGCCCGAATCCCAGGCTAAGAAGCTTCCCTCAATAAGTTACTGCCCTAGGGGGCCCGGCGCGGTGGCGCAAGTGGTTAAGGTCCTCGCTTTGCACACCCGGAATCCCATATGGACTTCTTAAACCCAAAGAACTGCCAACTGCCGGTTCTATCCCAGCAGCCCTGCTTCCCTTCCAGCTCCCTGCCTGTGGCCCAGGAAAGCAGTCGAGGACGGCCCAAAGCTTTGGGACCCTGCACCCGCGTGGGAGACCTGGAAGAGGCTCCTGGCTTCGGATTGGCATAGCATCAGCCATTGCGCTCACTTGGGGAGTGAATCATCGGATGGAAGATCTTCCTCTCTGTCTCTCCTCTCTGTATATCTGCCTTTCCAATAAAAATAAAATAATAATAATAAAAAAAAGTTATTGCCCCGGGAGCAGTCAGGGACCTAGGAAGATAATCACTTTAAAAACATTTGAGCGATGGTGCTTGGATTATCTTGCTGGAAAGCCTGGGGGTTTTCTTGGCATGTAAAGTAAAGAATATGAGCATAGCCTTAGAAGGGATGGAGGGAGGAGCAGAAAAGGGCCAGGGAGAAACAGGAAAGAAGACTTCAAGAGGTAAAGAGGCAGGGCCAAGGGATATGGTAGGAAGGAGCTACCCACCCTATGACACTTGAAGCTGAGACCTCTCCAACTCCAGTGGCTGATTTCAGACTGCATCCAACCTCAGTGCCTGCTTCCCTTTGTTCTGCTGGCAGTGTGGTCTTAGGATCCAGCACAGCACCACAGACTAATGCATGGAGTGAGCAAGAGAGGGAGAGAGGGACCACCGTGCCACTTGAAATGGAAGAGCCGGCAGCTGTGAGAGAACAAATCCTCCAGTGGCACTTTCCCCAAGTGCTAAAAGCCAGTGGAGCCTGTCCCCGCCCCAGCTTCATTTATATGCTGCTCCTTGGCTCCCCTTGTGTGATTCTGTTCAGACACAGAATATAATGTGCCAGCATTCTTTTGGAAGAGTTCTGACCCACTGGCCACAGATCGCAGGAGGGGACAGAAATGTGATGTTAATAATCAGCTGCACCAAAAGGGGTGGAGCCAGCCAAACAGCATTGGAGGCCTCCCCAGGGGTCTCTGGATGGCAGGAAAAACGGCATCAAAGGAAGCAGTGAGGGAGGTCAGGGTGGACACTCCAGGACAAATCTGCCAGTTGTCAGACCTAGCTACTCTGAGTAGACACCACCAGGAAAGGAAAAATTAAAATGCACATCTGGTTTATCCCCCAGGAGTAGCACAAGTGCTTTTGTCCATGAAACACAGTGGCTACACAGTCAGTCAGCCTGCATGTACCAACTTTCTTTCCAGCTCTTCCCTGTGATAGATTCCGTGCATCCATCACAGCTGCCTGAACGTGCCCTCAATTTTGTCATTCCTCGAGCATGCATACATTCAAACTAGTGACCTAGCCCCAGGGACACAAGCAGGACAAAACCAGCTTTCCTGGCTGGGAAGCTTGTCCTTCAGCTGTGGCAGGGCACCCAGCAGTGGCAGAGCCCACACATATGGGCATAGAGCAGGAGCTTAACAAACCTGAGAGTAAGTGAATGAGCCAGTGAGCACAGCGCCTGTGGCTTTGGCACACCTGAGCATCTCTCCTCATCTGCTCGGGGAGGGTAAGGAGACATGTCTCCTCCTGCATTTCACAGATGAACAGCACCCGAAGCTACCCACTTCCTGCCCCAACTGCCCCAGCCCACCCAGGACAAGGGTTCCTCCCTCCAAACCAGACTTTGCTCAATGGCTGATGTTGGCAGTGCCACCAGTGAGGACCTCAGGTTTGTGGATAAGAGATTCCTGCCCACCATGCAGCTTATAGTCTAGCAAAAAAGGCAGGGTTACCTACATAGATGCAAAAAACTGTCTGTAGATTATGAATGTCATTAGAAGGAAAGCAACAAGGAGTCTAAAAGGAATAGACATGGACCTAACTTAGATGACTGGACACAGGGCAGTACTCAGGCAAGGCCTTTTAGCAGAAGGGCTAAAAAATGAGAAGCAAGGGCCCAGCATGAGAGTGCAGTGGTTAAAGTCCTCGCTTTGAATATGCCAGGATCCCATGTGGTCGCTGGTTCTAATCCTGGTGGTCCTGCTTCCCATCCAGCTCCCTGCATATGGCCTGGGAAAGCAGTCAAGGATGGTCCAAAGCTTTGGGAGCCTGAACCCACATGGGAGACCTGGAAGAAGCTCCTGGCTCCTGGCTTTGGACTGGCTCAGTTACAGCCATTGTGGCCGCTTGGGGAGTGAACCATTGAACGGAAGATCTTTTTCTCTTTCTCTCCTCCTCTCTGTGTATCTGCCTTTCCAATAAAAATAAATAAATCTTAAAAAAAATAAGAAGCAAATTAGTAAAAAGATGCATTTAGGGAAAAGCATGCCAGGCAGAGGGAGCTGCATAAGCAAAGACCCTGAGGCAGGAGTCAGCTTGGCCACTGGAAACAATTACTCAAAAGTATTTACTATGTGCCAGGCAGGCTTATTCACACTACAAGAAACACAGGAACAAAGACAAATCATTCACCTTGTGGGACTTAAGTTCAAGTGTATTCTAACATCTTCTTGGTCTTTGGGCAAAGATCAAGCGTACTCACATATTCTAATACAATCTAAAGGATGCTTATTTGAAAAGTCAGTAAATGCCACATCCTAGATTATTACCAATAAGGAAGTTGCAGTTAATATTTGCAGCTGTATTTGCAAAAACGGATGCACAGACTGGAATAGGAGACTGTCCACAATCACACAGCAAAGAAACAGGGATGTGGGGATTCCTGGGAGTCTAACTGCAGACCCTGAACTTTAACCACTACATTGCCTGCCTTGCTTTCCTAGATGAATACATACAAGAAAAAGAGACATTTCATGCATTTCCTGCAGCACCTAGTACAATATCCAAACCCACAAGACTCTATTTTCAAACCAGCTGGCTCAGTGCATTCCAAACTGTAAAGCTAAGGTAGCTCCTGCCCAGTCTCAGAGGGGGATCCCTAGGCTCCATCCACTGATAGCAGAGAAGGTACCATCCCAGGCCCAGGATGGTGGCCTGACTCCCTCGCTTTCGAATGAGCAGTTAGCCAATCAGTCCAAGGTGCTACCTTCCCAGCTAGGCATGTGTCCTGGGCAACCCTGTTGGCTCCAAATTCATGTCCCAGGTCACGTGGCAACACTCCCTAGGAAGAAACCTGAGTCAATTCCAGCAGGACGTCCATGCATGGAGCTACCCTCCTCGAGCTCTGCCTCTTGATGGCCCCTTTTTCTGAAAGGTGCTCTTAAGGCACTTACCTGGATATGGACTTCATCACCCAGAAGCCAAGCGGGAGGGTGAAGAAATAAACCATAATGTGAGAAACCTTGGGCATTTCCTGAGGAGTGGAAAGCTTGCCTGATGCAGGGGAAGAATGTGGTTTTGGAGTCTGGCAGACTGGAACTAAGGAGCTTCATGCTGCCACTCATGTGCTGTGTATGACCCTGCACTTTGAGGCTGTTGCCTCACACATAAAACAGGAATGATCACTGAGTTGCTGAGGGAGTCAATGAAGTCAACATGAGGAGGCTCGGTGAAGAGCATCTCATTGCCTACTCCCCACCCGGACAGCCTCCAGTGCACCGGCAACTCTCTTGAATCCTGATCCAGTTTCTTCCTGTGGCAGAGTTAAGAGGGCCTGCCTTTCCTGATACTGCATCACAAACTCTAGAAATCATGAAGATTTCTCTGTGGCTGGCTGCCCTGCACGCTCAGATGCTGAATGAGTGCAAGATTGAACCCAGGAAATAGCAGAAGTAATTATCATTATCATTTGCTACCATTTCCCTTGCTAGGCCCTGAGTCCCACACAACACATGTTCTTAGTTCACCTGAGTCTCCCACGGGCTGTATGATTATTCATATCAGGGAAATGCAGGTTGAAGAAGGAAGAGGAATGACCTACCCCTCAAAAAAAAAAAAAGCCAGCAGCAGCTCATCCTTGGGCACACCCCACCCCTGCATGCACGCCCCGATCTTACATGACAGAATCCCTGCTGCACAATTACTTATTTTGTTTCCTTGAATAAAAAAAAAAAAAGGTGAACTGACATGGAATCCTCGTTTTCCCCTCTTGTGTGTGTTTGTGTATGTGTGCTTTAAACATTAGAGGTATACTGGAAATGACAGACACAGTTCTTCGTATCTCAGTACATGGTGTGGTGCCTTCCACAGAACCCAGGGAAACCAGGGAGGGGCTAAGAACACAGACGATGTGGGGGAGCGACGTGTGTTTATCCAAGGTCTCTATACTCTATAACTAAGCTCATCTAAACTCTGCTCCTAAATAAAATGCTGAGAAACACAAGATGAAATTGCTTTGAAACTCCAAACAGAATACAGTGCAAGCATAGTCAGCCTGTGCCATGTTGGGGAGGGAGGCAGAGGCAGGTGATCTGGAGGACAGGGGTGGGCAGCGAGAGGGAGGAGGCAGCTGGCCAGGCTGAGAGCTGTGAGAAACATGTTCACATCAAGCCTGGCACTGCACAGCATGTCACTCACCCTGCCAGACAGGCCTCGAGGCTGTCGTTTTATGAATGAGAAGGCAGAGACCTGAGAGGCCGATGAGCTTATCCAGCAACGGCAGACCTCCACTGAAGACCAGCTGCCTTGACTGTCCACACCTTCTCCTGACACAACTATCTCATCTGGCCATCCCACTGGACTCAGCAGTTCCCCTGGAGAAGGTCGGTCCAGAGGTTCCGAAGCACCTTTGGAGCTTAGGGGCATTAAGTTGAGGGGATCCTTCAAGATTCAATATGGAATCTTGTTTAGTAGAAGAACAATAATGCATCTTGCCAGGGTAAATGGCCCACAGATGGACAATTCCCAAGTCTAGGACAGGACATTTCTGGTCTACAGGGCTCAGTCTCTGTTTTGTGGAATCAGACACTCATCTTGGACAGCAGTGGCTCACTGCCAGGACACAGTCAAGTCCAACATCATTGGTCTGTTTCGGTTTGCTTTTTAAGTGATATATGAAGTAGAGGTTCAGGGAGGAAACATCATTTGCTAAGGCCACAGCAGTGAGAGTGGTGAGGCCCCCAGCTGTTTTCATCATGGGGCACCTGACTCTTTCCTTGCAGATGGAGGCCAGAGCAGATATGAGAGCACAGGCAGAAAGAGTCTGAGCCTCATCTCATCTACCTGGGATTCTGTCCACCCCAAATAATCCTTCTACCCTCCGAGACCCCCGCTTCCTGCTGATGCGGGCATCTGGAGAACCCCGAGGGTCCCTGGGTTTCTTACCTGAACGTCCAGGTTTCTGCGAGAGGAGGCAGGTGTGTTGGCGTAGGAGCTGATGGAGGAGCTGGTGTTGATGTCATCGGTGCTGAGGTTGTCTATGGTGTCGCTGATGCCACTGCTCACAGAGCTGCTGTCATCCCAGCTGCAAGGCAAACACATCCTGAGCATCAACACCTGAGGCCACACCAGCCCGGACAGACAACACACACCATGCCTGAAAAGATGCAGGCTATGTTACAAAGCCCCAGACAAAGCTCTTTTGCCTCTGAAAGGGATCATCTCCAGCAGCACCATCCATCGGTGCTTCCATACGTTTCACAGAAGTGCTTCTACGCTTCCATAGAAAGGTGGCTGCTGACACTATGTCTTAAACTGTCTTCATCTTCCCTGTGAAACTTTACAAAACCCAGGTGCTCCTTCCCAGGCCTAACAAAATGTCAGAAGACTTGAGCTCAAAGAGTGTAGGGAAAGATTCAGCATGAGCCCCTACCTGGGCTCAGAGCTGCCAGGTGAGTTCTCTGGACTCGAAAGGAAGGAAAGTGCACTAGTCAGCACAAACATGTTCACTGTATCAGAGCTGATCCCACACATAAAAGCAAAGTGCGTCATTTCCCAATCCTCATATCTGCTGAGACCTTCTCTCACTGCTCAAGTTAACTCTGTTTGTAATGAGTTCACATTCCTTCTTTCTTATCATCTCCAGACCTCCCAACACACCACCACATTCAATCCAATGTCTGTTCCTATCACCTTTACGAGGACATGAGTCTGTGGGAAGCAAAATGAAGACAGACTGGGGAGTAGGCACCGTGGTATAGTGGGTTAAGCTGCTGCTTACAATTCTGATGTCCCTTACTCGAGGGCCTGTTCAAGCCCTGGTCGCTCCTGCTTCTCACTGAGCTTCTTCTAATGTGCCTAGGAGGCAGCGGATGATAGATCAAGTACATGGGCCCCTGCCACCCACACAGGAGGCCTGGGAGGAGTTCTGGCTCCTGGCTTCAGCCTGCCCTCACTTCTGCTGGTGTGGGCATTTGGGGACTCCACTAGTAGATGAAAGTAAATAAATATTTCAAAAAGTGAAATTTTAAAAAAGTTTATTTTGGTAGAAAATTTTGAAATCCATGTATAGATTTTTTTCCAAAATACATATTTTTCCACAAACATTCTGAAGACCCTTTGTAGTAGTAAAATACATTGAGGTAAGCACAGTAATACACCCCTCCTGCTGGCCTATGCCCCAAGGCGGCATCCGCTCTGGCTGAAACGCTACAGCAGCTCTCTGCATTCGACTCTGCTTCCTCCCAATTCACTCCTCTCCCACCCTGAAGCTGGAGTGATTTTTCTGTAATGTAAACCTTGTTCTCTCATTCCACTTCTGGAGACCTTCATGTAGCTTCTCAGATACTTACAAATCAAACTCTCTTCACAGGCCTCTACCACACTGTGGCCTGGGCTCCCTCTCTAGTTCCATCTTACACCTGCCTCTCCATGTGAACTGTGGCTTGGGTCACAGGGGCTTCTGTTCCTTCTAGGCCAACACTACCCTTCTCCCCTGGACACTTGTCCTCACATGTTATCATCTATTACCCCACACTGTTGTACTTTCTCATTTGTTTAGCTGTTGGGAGACAGGGACATAGCAAGTGTCCAAAAACACTTGCTGAATGAAACTCATGAGAGTTAAGTAGTCTAGGAAGGAAACTTCTAAACTTCAGTGGGACAGCGCTATGGCTAATAAGTGGAGAACAGTGAATACTATTGTTTGCCTGTTGTCCAGGTAGAGAAACTGAGGCTTAGAAAGGTGAGAGGCACAGGACAAGGCCAGAGGGCTAGGAGAAAGTAGAGTGGATCCACATCCAGCCATTCTGACTCTGATGCTAATGAGTTTTCCATTTTGTTAGTCCTTAATATGTATTAGATATGACACGGGCCACTTGCCCAGGAGAAAACTTGAAGTTTGGGAGGTGACAGATTTCAGGTCACATAGCCAGGAATGGCAAGTCTGATAACAGTACTGACTAGACTATTATTCTACCATCCTGCCTTCCTCAGCATGTCTTGCTGAAAGCCCTGCATAAGGATAACATAAAGCCTGAGAAATGTTGGGAGCTGAGATTTCCAAATCAGGGGGACCCTCCTCCTCCCCCAAATGCACACAAATAGCTCCACACAAGTAGTTGTTCCAGCTTGTAAGACACCTGTTGTATATTCTGAGCTTGTTGATCAGGAAGGAAGACAAAAGCTTACTAAAAACCTGTTTTCGTCCCCTCTGCCTTCAACATTCTCATTCACCTTTCACAAGCCAACCTGGAGGATCCCACAGCATACCCAGGAAGATGTGTGCAGCTGGTTTCCAAGTCGGGAGGATTAGCCAGGACGAGTGAGGGCTCAGCAAAAGGGTGTGCTCGGGATAAATGCACAAGAGTCCAGAGGCCTCACAGCTCCCAGAACTCAGCAAACTTTGCTCAGGTAATTCTGTTTCTTCCATCCAACCCTCCACTTATTTGAAGGCCTTCTCAAATAAGTGCAGTGCAGATCTCTCAGCACTCTCAAACCATCCCCCACAGTAAATTCCTATGCAGTCCCACACATCTGTGTTCACTACATCCACCTTTACAGTTTTCCAGTCATTATCACAACTAAATGCCTGCCTCAAATTGGGAGCTGTGCCAGGCACTGTAAATTTATTATTATATATTCCTCCAACCTGCAGATTACACCTACCAGGTAGGTATTACCCTGTCCATATGACCAATGAATGAATGATAAGTTCCTTACCAAGGTGAGGAACTGGTTTTGGAACTGGCTGTATAGTTTCAGAACCTATGATATTTTCACTTCATACTAGGCTGCTTTTTCAAAGAGTGGTCATTTCCTGAGCACGCATGCCATGTGCCAGCTACTCAACATTTGCACATTCTCTCGTGTTACTCCTATGGGCAGCTGCTATGCTTATTTCACAGTGTGCAAACTGAGGCTTTGAGAAGTGCTTACTACAATGTCAAGCTCACTGTACAGGCCACAGCCCTCTTCACATCAGAGATGCCACGTGTGCTTACTTGATACTTCCTGACTAACCCATGAGTGGAGCACAGCATAAGTTTCTTTGCCTAAAATCACACTCCTCAAGCTCTCATGCCCATACATGAGATGTTGCAAAGAATGAAACACACATGAAAAATTAACAAATGCAAAGGAAACGTAAGGCTGTAAGTGGCTACTGCATCTCCCCTACCCAAGAAGGAGGCTCACACAGATGGAAATAGCCCTGAGAAGGATGGGAGATCCCCCAGAATGAGGCTCGAGCTCGTGGCCCTCACCCCACCTAAGGCCAGTAGCAGCCAGGGAACAGCCACAATCAATTTGTTCCTGTTTGTCATCTGGTGCACTAGTGCCCACTAAAGGGGAATTGCCATTTGTCTGTAAAATGACTTCAGACGGGCGGCTGCAAGCCAGACAGGAAAAATGTGGGAAGTAGGCAGAGCTCACTGGAGCAGCAAGGACATTAGCTGAATCCAATCAAGTGGCAAAGGAAATGAGGTACAAAAGTCCACAGACCCAAGCAAGGTAATAAATGTTGAAAGAGTTTCCAAACAGTGATTAAGGTTGTGACTTGAAAGGAGCCCAGAAAATTGGTGTTTATTGTGATTGAAATGCAGTTCCTGCAGGGAGGCCCAGGACTCCAGGGGTGCAGCAGGAGGAGTCACTCCACAACCAATCATTCTGGAATATGCTTGCATGACCCCTGGGTGCTAGTCTAGAAGCTCAGAAACACTGCACAACAACTTGAGCCCAGCTAAGATGACAGGTCTCCGTTGGGAGTATGCAATTTTAAAACATAGGGGGAGTTTAAGAAAATGAGTGCTGATGAAATAAATCATGACACAAAAACTTCTTAAGATGAAAGTTATGTGATAGCTGGGGTTAATCTCTGCATGTTTACAGCATTTAAAACACCCACAAGGCCAAATATTTGGCAGTGGCTTGACTGCGTGGGATGCCCACTTTGAATGTGGGAGTGTCCGATGTTGACTTTTGGCTACTACACTTCTGATACAGTTTCCTGCTAATGTGCTAATGCACATACCGGGACACAGCAGAGGATAACGGCTCAAGTAGTTGGGTCTCCGCTCCACGTTGGAGATTCAGATGGCCTTCTTGGCCCTGGCTTGGTTTGGTCCATCCTTAACTGCTGCAGGTACTTGGGGAAAGAATCAGTGGATGGAAAATCTCCCCCTCTCTCTGCCTTCCAAATAGAATGACAATAAATAAGTAGATAGGGCCCGGCGCGGTGGCGCAAGTGGTTAAGGCCCTCGCCTTGCACGCCCGGAATCCCATATGGGTGCCAGTTCTATCCCGGCAGCCCCGCTTCCCTTCCAGCTCCCTGCCTGTGGCCCAGGAAAGCAGTCGAGGACGGCCCAAGGCTTTGGGATCCTGCACCCACGTGGGAGACCCGGAAGAGGCTCCTGGCTTCGGATCGGCATAGCATCGGCCGTTGCGCTCACTTGGGGAGTGAATCATTGGATGGAAGATCTTCCTCTCTGTCTCTCCTCCTCTCTGTATATATCCGCCTTTCCAATAAAAATATAATAAAAATAAATCTTTAAAAAAAAGTAAGTAGATAAACAGCTTTTAGAAAAGTATATGTGGCTATCTAATAATATCACTGAAATGGTCTGGTGATTTAAATTTTAAGTTAGTATAGATTTTTGACTTGAAAGTTTCAAGATAAAAGGCTTACAAATTGGATTGAATATATTAAGAATTGAAACGCTGGAGCCAACTCTGTGGCATAGTGGGTAAAGTCACAACACCAGCATCTAATATGGTGCTGGTTGAGTCCCACCTGTTCAACTTCCCATCCAGGTCCCTGCTGATGGTTTGGGAAGGCAGCACTGGATGGCTCAAATATTGGGGCACCTACACTCAGGAAGCTGACTCAGATGGAGCTCCTGGCTCCTGGCTTTAGACTATCCTAGATTGTAGCCATTTGGGAAGTGGATCAGTAAATGGAAGGTCTCTGTCTCTGCATTTTTCTCTCCCTCTCTGTGTAGCTTTCTGATCCGCAAGGGCTGTCAGTATAGAAAGACCTTCGTGGTGCAGTTGCTAAGCTCAGAGAACCCAGGTACGTTAACTTGCCTG